AGTTCTGAGAAAAGGAATCAAAGGCATGCAGGCACTAGAGAATACCGACAGATAAGATGTGATTATGTGGAACTAAGTAATTATATGAAGTTACCATAGAAGGGTGTAAGATCCTGAAACTATAGGCCTAGTTGAAATATCAAAGGAAAAACAATTAGATATAAGAATTAAAAGTAACTTTCTGAAATGTATTCAGTTTACAGAGAACCTCTGACACAAGGTTCAAGAACTATAGATCTGAATCCCAAACCTCTGAATTAACAGTTATTTTGATTTCCAGCTTGTTCAGGGGTCAAAGAGTCACAACACTTCTTCCTGTACGATATGAATATCGGAGATCAATCCTGATTAATCATCAGGATTTCAGGAGGAACAAAGTAACAGCAATGCATTGTGATACAATGAAATCAACTGATAAATGGCACTGTTGCTTTTATTCCTTACTCATGCTAACCTCCCCAAATAGAAGTGTCACCTTAAAAATAAAAGGTGTAGGGATCCCTGGGTGGCGCAGCGGTTTGGCGCCTGCCTTTGGCCCAGGGCGCGATCCTGGAGACCCAGGATCGAATCCCATGTCGGGTGCATGGAGCCTGCTTCTCCCTCTGCCTATGTCTCTGCCTCTCTCTCTCTCTCTCTCTGTGACTATCATAAAAAAAAAAAAAAAAAAAAAAAAAAAGTATTAAAAATAAAAGGTGTAAGAGGTGTACCAAAAACAAAAACACACAAAACATACCATTCATCGAACACCTGTGTGTGATGTACCTGGCACCTGTGCCCTATCTGCACTGCCACTTTGAACTGTTAGCCATGTGAGGATTTTCTGAAGATCATAAAGTAGTAAATATAAGAACAGAAGCTAGTTTGCAGTTTCAGTTCATCCATTTGTTTATGATGCCACGTGCAAGTGATTATGGTGAGAAAGCACTTCACAGATTTCACATCCAGCAAGTTGAACACTCAGTGGTATCTCTGAAACCCAAGTTCTGACAGCCCTGGGGCTTATCACTGGAAACATTTCTAACGTATCCTCAGTTCTGAGGCAGCAAAGTGCCCTGCAGTGTGCACCCACACACCTCAGTTCAAATCCCTCCTGAGCCTGGGGGAAGACTCACACCTCTGAACTACAGATTCATCATCAGAAATGTGAATTAAGTGAAGCACAATCCTCCTTGGAGTGTAGTGAGAATAACCTGAGACATGTATGAAAAGCTTTCAGCTTCTAGAAAGTGTTCTCTTACTTCTGGTTCCCTTCCATCTTTAACTTAAAAAGCGAGTTTTATGATAGTGGCTGCTGTTGCCTTCTTCCTGGTCATCTGTATCAGAGGCTGAAAATGACGTTTTCTACTAGCCGTAGTCGTCTCCTCCGTATTGGTAAGAATTAAGCTCCTTCATAAAGAAGGCTCAGTTTTCTGGATTTTTGTTCTGTTTTACTCTTGTTCTTTGTTACAATGTTTTTCATAAGGAAACATTTCTTATACACTCTGAAAAATCTGTATTGTAATAGGTATGGTGTTTAATGTACCAATTATAAATGAGAATAAAAGACAAATGAAGAGCTTGTTCTCAAAGTGTATTTCAGAGTTTCTTTCCAAGAGAGTCAGACTCTGTAGGTCTGGGGCAGGGGCCAAGAAGCTGTAGTTCTAACAAGCACCCCTGAGGATGCTGAGTGCAGGTGGTTCTCAACACACAGTAAGACATGGTGATGTCATCAACTCAGAAATACTGACCTGCTAGAGTATCACTTCCTAAAGGCTATAGCCTCTGTTAAAAAACAACATAAACTATCAGCACTGAGTCTAAAAGACAGAAATATTCAACCCTAAAAATCCATCATGTCATATATTCTACGTCAAAACATACTACTTTAGCATGTATCTATACCTTAATAGAGTAAAACATTAATAGCCACTACATAAACATCTATAAATATAGCCAGTACCTCTTTACTTCCTGGTTTCCTAGGTGCTAAACTTGTATTTTGTCCCTCTTCCTCTCAAGCCATTCAGGTACACCTGAGAAATCTGTGGAAGGCACAGGTTGGAAAGGCAGCAGGAATCACATCCTTGCTAAAACACACTGGGGAAAAACCAAGGTGTAGGAATCTTCCAGAGGACAGGACCCTGGGCAGAGTTCCCAGGAATGTTGCCAATGAACCCATGGAAATGCGTTTCCTTCTCTCCTTAGTCCCTTCCTGTATGGCTAAGAATAATGCAGAAAGACATGGAGTCAAAACAGGAGACAGAGAAGGAAAAATGCTGCCCAACTGTAACCTAATCTTTGAGATCAAAGATAATGACCTACATAGAAAACAGAGAAGTATTTCATACATGTTCTATGTTATTTTAGGTGACAGGTGTGGCCCCAAGAGGAGGCACAGAAGATGCTCAAGCTCAGAAAACAAAATTTCTTATACATTCAAGTCCTAGAAACAGGGTGCCCGAATGGCATACCTAACAGAGCCATGTGGGAAAGAGCCAGCACCCAAGGGGCTTCTTGTTGGCAGAATTGATGGAAGAGTCTGGCTGACGGCTCTTATTGCAGTTTCCAAGAGAAATGCAAAGCAGGACAGGATCAACAGTTTATTGGCTAGTCTGAATAATTTCATAAGGCTCTAAACTATAAGAGTGGCCCTCCTGGCTTGGTACCTGGGACCTCAGATGACTAAAGCAGAGGAGTATTGCTTCCTGGGGATTAAGGGCAAACTGGAGGAGGCAGGGCCTGGGTTGGTTAATTTGCATGTCAATGGCATGCTCCAGGCATTGCCCTTTGCTATCTCTAAGAATTATCTAACTCTGAGGGACTGTCTCTCCCCAGCCAGAAGGGTTTTTAAAGTGTCCCAATACCACAATATACAAGAAAATTTTAAATATAAGCAATACAACACAACTAGCTATGCACCTCCTGCTTACTAAGAGGAAATCTGGCAGCCTCTTTCCGAACCCAGACTCAAACCAAAGGGAACCAGAAACAGTTAATTTAGGAGAAATCCACTTCCCAAACCCACTCAGTATGTTCAATGTGACACATGTGCTCTCAGCTTATAATTGGGACATGCAAAGCTTTAAGGGTATAATCAAGGGGAAAGATGGTAGGAAGTATTTGCAAGGTGGAAATGAGATGGAGGCACCTCGCTGAGTTTTAATTGCCTTTAAAAAAAAAAAACTCTCGAAAACTTCTGGGAAAACTTCTGAGGAAGAAAACAGGAAACAATTCAGCTATAGAAATCATCTCTGGGCTGGTTTTCAAACTAAGGGACAGCTGCAATATGAGGCACATCCTTTTCCGAATAGCCATACAAAGGGACAACAGTCTCTAGAAACCGTTGACAAGCATCAAGCAGCTACCTCTGCCCCTTAAATTCACACAACTTCTCCACCTCTTTCATGGATGCCAACAATATGAGTTCCCTTAGATTCCATACTGAGAACAGAGACACAAGTGCTTAAAGCATCCTGAGTTAGGATTTGTTTAAAATCAAGAATTACCAATTTTGGTGTGAGGCAGACATTTTGCGATTCCCACTAGTTCAACCTATATATATCTTCATGTACCCCTTCCCCATTACCCTCTCACATCCCCAAACACGGTGAAGAATTGTGGTACTTCCTTTTCTTTACAAATCATGTTCACTTCTTATCATTTAGAGTCTAACCTTACAAAATCAAGTCTGGTGAACATGCAGTACAGGCTAATTAACCAATAACAGCTTTTATTATTTGCCACCCTGCCAAGCGTTTTATGTACATTATCTCCTTGAATCATTACAATTCTAGGAACCAGGTACTATTACCATCTTCATTTTCCAGATAAGGAAATCTAGGCCCTGAGAGATTAAGCAGTTATAGCTGAAAGTCACATGCCTACTAAACAGCAAAGTCCAAATTTAGACCCTGGCTGCCTAACTTGAGAGTCCAAGGTATAATAGCTAACAGCTGAAGAGATGAGGTACTTTCCATGATATGATTAAAGTGAAAAGGGCATGCTCCCTCCACAGATGCTTTAGCAGTCACAGTATAGGGAGACATCAGGGCACAAGAAGGCATTCCAAACATGCCAACACCCCCAGAAGGCACTCAGTCTCTGCATCTTCTAGAACCAGGAACAAGTGGCCATAGATCAATGTCCCAAAAAGGGCAGAAGTATTGGCTTCAGAAAATGAGGTGTGTGTGTGTGTGTGTGTGTGTGAATAAAGGGAAGAAGGTAAATGACATTCTAGGGAGAATCATGCTAAGATTTAGGGATCTTTAATGCTGGCACTGCTGATCTTGAACAGACAGCACAAATAAGCTTAACACGTGGCTTTCACTCAAGGAATTAACCTGTTGCCAAGTAAAGTGTTTCAAAGAACTGGAATGTTGTCAAACTAGCTTAACACCACAAAATGGTACAGCTTAATGAGGCTCCATAAATATTGAGGACTACAACACCCAGCTTCCTCAGCAAAAAGTGCTTTTACAAGTGGTTTGCTGTTTTTCCAGGGTGCATACACATGGTGCTGAAACGCTACAACTAAAAGCTGTCTTTTTTTAAATGAGTATGACTTGTTCCACCCTTCACTTTCCTAGATTTCTTTTGGACCATTTTTAAATTTAAAAATTTACATTAAAAAAAAAGAAAATGTAGGTGATAAATAAATAGAGTAAAAAATCTCAAATAGCTCGTATGATCACGCTTAACAGTTTTCTTCAAACGCCTACTCAAGCTCCGGAGATAAAGACACATCACTTCTCTGGAAAAGCCCTAACTTTGTTAAAAGCAAACCAGACCAGAAGCTGAACACTGAACCTACAAGAGTGGAGAAGCTATACTGACCCGTGCAGACCAGCAACTGGCCTGAGGTCTATTCCAAACCGAGTATCTGGAGAAGGGGGGGGGGGGGGGAGTCTAGAGGACAGGAAAGCTCTCACTGAATGGAAAAGGTAAAAACAAACAAAAAAAAAATCAAAAAATCTATAAATTCAGCAATATTTGTTCCTGAGAAGAATGTGACAGCTACTCACCTATCTACTGCTTCTACGTCAAAGCAAAACCTCTTCTCGATAGAGTCTGTTTTCCGCCGTGTGCAGGATTTCAGGGTGACGGATTCATCTTCTCCCTGTTGGGAGCATACAGACTGTCACATGGGCTATGTTGTGCATCTCTCCAGTATACCACAGACATGTCACATGAACAACAGTGACCATTCCATCTTCTTGAGCCTGGGTGTTCATGACCACAGCAAGGTGGGAAGTCGAGCAAAAACCTTCCCCTCAGGCAAGAGACTCACACAGCTAAAACCTGGAAACCATGTCATACTTCAAGCCAAACACCCCTAGTTTTAATTTAGTTCCAGCACATCATAATGGTACATCAACCCATGCTAGATAAACTCTAGTTGATAATATCTGCAACAGGTTTGACTTACACAAGTTTTTATTTTTTTTATTTTTTGAGAGAGTAGAAAGAGTGTGCACACATGCACATACAAGCAGGAGGAGGGGGAGAGAGGAAGGCATAGAGACAAGCAGACTCCGCGCAGCACAGAGCCCCACACAGGGCTCAATGTCATAACTCTGAGAGCATGACCTGAGCCGAAATCAAGAGTTAGACACTTAACCAACTGAGCCACCCAGGCGCCCCTAATTTTCAGGGTGGATAAGGGTCTATTCTTGACTCTGAACTTCTATAATCTTGGCTCCATCATCTTTTTTCAGAAAGGTCTTCTTGGACCAGGTCAAATATCCCAAGGCACATTCACATAGCACCATGTACTTTGTCTCAGAACTGATCACAGGTGGAATTGTCTGTCCTTGTAAGTGACGATTCCAATCATGTCTCCCTCCTCATCAGACTGTAAGCTCCTTAAGGCCAGGGACTGTCGGTTCTTGCTGATTCCAGTGTCCCCAGAGCCCAAACCGGCCACAGAACAGAGGAAGTGCTCAATAAGTAGATTTTGAACAGTTTTACAAAGGTATAACTAAGGGGAACCCTGGGTGACGCAGCGGTTTGGCGCCTGCCTTTGGCCCAGGGCGCAATCCTGGAGACCCGGGATCGAGTCCCGAATCGGGCTCCCGGTGCATGGGGCCTGCTTCTCCCTCTGCCTGTGTCTCTGCCTCTCTCTCTCTGTGACTATCATAAATAAATAAAAAATTTAAAAAAAAAGGTATAACTAATGTGTAAAAAACTGTACATGTCAATTTATGAGTTCTAACTTCTATATGCATCCATAAAAATCAATACCACAATCAAGCTAATGAACATTTCTATCACCCCCAGAAATTTCCTTGTGTCCTTTGAATTTCATCCCTCCCTCCAGTCCACCCTCAGGTAAATAAATACTGAATTGTCATACAGATCAGTTTGCATATTCTATAATTCATATAAATAGAATCACATATTATGTGCTCTTTTATTTCTGACTTCTTTGATTTGGCACAATTCTTTTGCAGTTCACCTATGTTGTACAAATCAATAGTTTTTTTCTTTTTACTACTGAGTAGTATCCCATTGTACAAATGGAATCCAACAGTTTCATCACATAGTGTTCTTTTATTGCCTAAAAACAGGAATTTCTTTCCCTGATTTTGGCCCCATTTAAGAATTTACAGCTCCTGTTTCTCTTCTCTTGCCTTTGCCAATCGTTTTGTCTGAACAAGGGAGAAAACTAGCAAACCTGCCTAATTTGTTGAGAAAGGAAATGTGACTACATATGGTAAAACTTAACTACCCCCTACTATTACAATACCACACAAACACAGAAGACCTAGCAAGAAACAATTTATATTCACAAGCCTTCCATCTACTGTCTTTTCAGGGGAGTAGAGAACAGTAGGTGAAAGGTCCTGTGGTCAGGGTCCATGAAGCCTGGGAGGAACTGAAAGCGAGCCAGTATGGCTGAATCCCAGAGCAAGTGGCAAAGTGGTATGAAAAAGAGCCTGAGGGAATCAAGAGCCAGATCATGCAGATTGTGGTCCATTTTCCGAGAGCAAGGGAAAAATAATGAAGGGTTTCAAGCAAGGGAAGGGGACAAGGTCAGCTTCGGGCTGCTCAGACCTCACACAGAGAGAGCTGCCATGCCTCATCTCAGAGGGTAGGATACAGGGGAATTCTCTTTCACCACACACATCTCCAAGATGATGGAACAAATCTGCTCACAAATCCTCGTCTGAAGCTAAGAGAAAAGCAGGTACTTTTACAGGAGAATAATGCAAATGAAATGGACAGGAAAGATGAGTGAAAAAGCATGTTAGGAAAATAAAAAACCCATCCTATTATCTATGTTGTCTATTTCCACCTCCTGGGGAGAGCTTTGTACAAACACATATATCATATATAAAGATGTCACATGATTCTCCTGTACAAATTGAGATGACATTACTTCTAGATTGCCAGTCTTCCTATTTCCTCCACCTTAAAGCTGAGGAAATAGAGTGATATCATGGAAAGATATTATTTTATCTATTTTTCTATTATTATTATCACTATTATTCACAGCAGTCATTTCTGATTCAGAAGATGCAGACTCCAGAATCAGAGTCTGAGTACTGCCTCTGTAACTCATCAGTTGTATGGCTCTATAAATCATTTTCTCTCTCTAGACCACAATTTCCTCCTTTATGAAGGAGAAAAGTGGATTAAGCAGGATAATATAGGATAATAGGATAATACAAGGACTTAAAAATATAAAATAAATTTTAGGAATTATTAGGAAAATTAATTATTGTACTATCAAGCTCCTAATACAGAACTCATTATGTGTGAAGCTCTGTCCCAACAATATATATACTAATTCACATAAACTTCTTAAGAACCCAGTGAGGTGTTTACTATTAATTCACTGAACACTTGGGAGTCCCAAACATCCAGCAAAACTGGTTTCTGTCATTCACTTTCCAGTGAAATAAGATCAAACACAAAAGAGTTCTTCTTTTAAGGTTTAGAAAAGCAGAAGGTCAACAGCCCCCAAATAAAGACTGTGTGAAAGAATAATTTAGTGATGCTCATTTCTAGAAAGACAGGATTGGAAAAGGACTATGGCTCAACAAGGGAACAAGTCTAACTCTATTTCCATTGTATGAAAACTAGGGAACACCTAGTGATCAATGTTTAATATCTCTTCCGACTCTGTAAATTCTTTATGTTTCTCTATTTGAACAATATTATTTTCCTGACATTATTCCCTTTCTGACATTGAAAGAACTTTGGTGTATTCTTCTGTAATACATGGAAGGGAAAGAGATGCTGATAAATTCTTATATTTATGGTCTAAGGAAAAGAAAGCCAGGAAGAAAAACTTGAAGTAGTAGAGGTCAAGGGGCAGCTGGCAGAGTAGCCAACAATAATATAAATGCATCTAACATTACTGAGCCACCAGTCTAATTTCAAAGCCAATCCTCTTAGCCTCTGTAATGCCTCCCCACCACACACACAAACCCAACACACTGCACCACAATGCACCACAGAGAGGCCCAGAGATGGAAGACTTACTGGGGACTAATTTATCAACATATTGGACAAGACTTAAAAATTACTTAAACATAGAATCAAAGAAATCATGTAGAATGGAGTCCAGAGATCAAGCAGATGAAAAATATAAATGCTTTTCTTGAAAATATTTAGCTATATCCAAAGGAGTTATATCCAGAAGGAGATATGAAGAGGAGGCAAAATTCAAAGTGTGATAACTGATAAAAATTTCCCAAAGTTACTGAAAGATACCAATCCTCAAAAACAGAAAGGCTCCCAATTCCCAAAAACAATGAAAAAAAAAATCACACATAGGACCATGATAATGAAATGTAATATACTAAAAGAAAAAAATGAAGATATTAAGAGTATCCATAGAGAAAAGACACATCACCAGAAGAAGAAATGTACTCAGGCTGTAGCTAACAAGCCCAGAAGAAAGGAGAAACGCTGTAACACGGTGGGGAGCTCTATACCAGTGACCACAGGGTCTGTGATCAGAGCCAGCTGCAAGAGTACTTCTATACATTTTTCGTGCCATACTGTAATATTCTGTAATATTCCTCCCATCAAGAGGCTGATCTGCATCCCCTCTCCCATTGAAAGTGGGTGGGCTTACGTAGGCTTTTATGACTGCTTCAACCAAAGGAGCAAAAGGAAGGCTGTAAGACTTCTAAGGCTACATGCAGTCTCTGCTTTCTTTGCTAGTATATTCACTCTTTACACCTTCTGCTGCCCTGAGGCTACCATGCTGTGAGGAAACCCAAACTATTTCCCACTGAGAGACCAGATGGACAGGCCCTGAGACTGTATAGAGCAGACAGACGGGAAAGAGGGAAAGAGAGGAAGGAGACCAGGAGAAAAGAAGACAGCCATGGCTGACCAGCCTTCAGCTGCTTCAAACCCTCACTATTCTGGCTCCTGCCACCATCCAATTGGAACCCACTGAGAAACTCCAAGCCCAAACCACCCATCCAAATGCTTGCCCAATTCCCAACCCACAGAAACTGTGAGAAATACTAAAATGACTGGTGTTGTTTTAAAAGCTGCTAAATTTGGGCACCTGGGCTGCTCAGTTATGCATCTGACTTGAGCTTAGGTTATGATCTCAGGGTCCTAGGATTGAGCCCCGCATCAGGCTCCCTCCTCAGTGGGGAGTGTTTCTCCCTCTACCTCTGCCTCTTTCCTGCTTCTCTCCCTCCTCTCCCCCTGCTTATGTGCTCTCCCTCTTAAACAAATAAATAAAATCTTTAGGGGAAAAAAAAGTTGCTAATTTTTTTCGGTAATCTGTTACACCCAAAAGATAACCAGGACATCTAAAACACCAGCTGGCAGCCCTCTTTGTATCAAGTAAGAGTGATGTCCATCAGTTTCACAGGACTAGACCATCCAGGAATTTCTAGCATCTAAACACATTTGACATACTTAATATTGTATATATGTGAAATACAAGAGCCTTTCTTAGTTGCAGTTCCTAGTAGAACTTAAAGCTAAGAATACTCGCTTTGGTACAGTTACTGTCTAGGGTACCATTCCTCTTGGAACTATTGTATAAAAGTAAGGGAAATCACAGTAAAACAAACTTGAAAAAGAAGAACAAAGTTGTAGATCTCATAATCCCAGATTTCCAGATACACTACCATATTTTAGTGATCAAAACGTATGGTACTGGCACAAAAAGAGACAGGTAGCTCAATGGAACAGGACAGAAAATCCACAAATAAACCCACACCTATATGGATCAATTAAACTGCAACAAAGGGGGCAAGAACATACAATAGGAAAAACACATTCTCTTCACAAATGGTGCTGGGAAAACTGGCGACATGTAAAAGAATGAAACTGGGAGATATATGATATATATATATAATGGAATATTATTCAGCCATGACAAGGAATGTGGTATTCCCACTTGCAACAACATGGATGGACCTAGAGGGATAATGCTAAGTGAAGTAGGTCAGACAGAGAAAGATAAATACCATATGATCTCATTTACATGTGCAATTTAAGAAACAAATGAACCAATAAAGAAAAAAAAAGCCAAGTGTACAGAAAAAACAGACTCTTAAATACAGAGAACAAACTGGTGGTTGCCAAGGGCGGGGGGGGGCGGGCAGTGTCCCAATACATAAGGGGGTTTAAGAGTACACGTACTGGGACAAGCACCGAGTAATACATAAAATCATTAAATTATTATACTGTATACCTGAAACCAAATTTAATACTGCATGCTAATTATACATCAGTAAAAAAAAAATTTGAAAACGAAAAAAGAAAATGACAGGGATACACTGACAGTGTTACTATACATATGCATTATAACCATCCTATGTTAGCCAAGCAAAATGAAATTTAAAAAATGAACTCACCCCCTTTCCTCCTGACTTCTGGTCAAATGGTACCATGGTGATTTGTTTGGAATCCCGTTGATATGTACAGTAGTGCTTCACCCAAGAAGTTCCAAAGTGACCTGCAGGATAGTATTCCCATGAAACATCTCTATGTGTCAAGCACATGCTGGAAATACACACAACCCATAACCCACAATGCTCACCCACCCTTAAACTGTTTCTAGGGGCAAATATAGTCTCTACCAGCTAGACTGGAATAGGCAGAAATCTGATCCCACAGGCTGGAAATGGAACTGACCTAGGGCTTTCTCAAGGGACCAAGAAGACTGTTTCCCACTAAATGCTGCATCCAATTGGTCTTATAATATAAGGGATGTAGAGGTTCCCTGGGGAAATTAATTCACTTTCCCATCATTTATCTCCACTTGAAGTTTCCTTTCTCCCCTGACAGGAGTAAGAGGACTATGGAAAGAACAGAAAAGCTCCTCAAAGTGCCTGTCACTGTTCCCATCTGGTGTGATAACTTCATGCTTCCCGCACAGCTGCTCTGCAACTCTCTGCAAAGATGTACAGGGGTTCTGACCTACTGCCAAACCCCTAACCTGTACTTTAGCAGAACTCAAGATAATCCAAAAAGCAGACAGACAAACTCTGACACAGAGATGTAAATGGAAGTAACTATAAATACCTAAATGCAATCTAAGGAGTCTGTCCCTCAATATACAGTCTCTGATTTTACCTGGTGGTTGGCCAATTACTTTATTTTGAATAACAAAATATTATTAGATGAAGAAGGCATAATTAGTATTATTAGCCTCTATGGTCCTCAACACTAGCCTTAGATGTTCACAGATATCATAGAGCAGAAGTTTGTTTGTTTTTTAGTAATAACATGAGATTTAACAAAGATTTAGTAATTATTTTTCAGGTATCAGGCCTATAGCAAGTGTGCAATGTCGCTTAGGAAACTAAAAAAGTAAAAAACAACAGTGTATACACTAAAACGAAGATAAAAATAACAACCATTCTAATTTATTTTTGTGGCTCAGAAAAAAAATTCCAGTGATAGCACAACACAAAGATTCCTTAAGCGTGGCATCTTAAACAATTTGAGCATCCAAATAAAGACAGTAATGGATATGGATTCAGCCTACCGAGTAGAAGAGAAATTCTTAAGTCCATCCTGACAATAAAAGGATGGATGGATGGATGGATGGATGGATGGATGGATGGATGGGAAAGGAGAGAAGGAAAGAATGAGGAAGGAAGGGTGGTCACTTCCTCACAGTACACTAAATGGCATCTAATAAATGTGGGGTGACAGAGCTGAGAAATCACCATTTTGCAACCATCACTGTAACAATCTGTTCAGGCAAGAGGGGCTGATGGATGCTAACTCTAGGGAGGGCAAAGCTTGATAAGAAGGATATGGTCTCAAGGCATCTCCTCATAGACTGTTAATGAACTACAAGGAAAAAATAGTGATTGTACAGTGAGTGGATAAACCAAAGGATACTTTGAGTGGCCAAAATTAACATAACCATGTGGGCCAGATGGCCATCCTGTGCCATGATATGTGATCCCCAAAGAAAACCACAAATGTTACTTATGTAGGATTTGACAAGGGATGCCTAACCTGAATCTAATCTTCAGGAAACATTAGACAAATCCACACTGAAGAAAATTCTAGAAAAGAACTGGTTTACATTCTTCAAAAATGTCCATGTCATGAAGGACAAAGAAAAGCTGAGGAACTATTACAGAGTAAAGGAGTCTAAAATCATGACAAATAAAAAAAAAAAATCATGACAAGTAAACACAGCACAAAATCCTATCTAGAAAGAAGAAAATATAAGGGCACTACTGGGACAACTGACAAAACTGGAATATGAACTGTCATTTACATTAAATATCTTATCAGTGTTAAATTTGCTGTATATGGTAACTATACTATGGTGACATAAAAAGAATACCCTTACTCTTAGAAAATACACACTAAAGAAGCAGGGGGTACAGAACCTATTTTAAAAGGATTCAGAAAAAAATGGCAGTGTGTATGTGTGTGTCTCTATGACTGTGATGTGTGTATGCATATAGCCAGAAAAAGAAAGAATGCGCTAAGTGTAGAAAAATGGTAAAAAATCATGCATCTGGATAAAGGGCACATGGTTGTCCCTTATACTCTTCTTGCAATTTTTCTGTAAGTTTCAAATTATTTCTAAGTAATAAGTTAACCAATACTTTCAAATGAATAGACCTGTATCCACTGATACACTTTAGACTCGTGTGTTTGAGAGTTAAAATCTGGCTCTAATGAAAATCCAGATATTCATGTTTTAAAAATCATGTGAAATATTTGCATAAAATTGGATTATTAATGTGAAAGTCTATGTAAGTAAATAATATGAATAAATAAAGTATTTTAAGTGGAGACTGAACTATATATTCAAGTTGACCTTAAACTTTTTGGAGTGGTTCTTCTCACTGGGTAAAAAAGGTAACCTCTTATACTGAGGCCTACACAAAATACAGCACTAGGATACTTTCCACTTCTTATAAACCTCAACAAGCTCATCTCTGTAAGAAAAAAGGGCATAAAACCCTCAAGACAACCAATGCCTCCAACCTAAAACCCCACTACTGCCTCCATTGTCACCAGGCAACAATTTTAAGGCCAACCAAAATTTGAGTAATCACTAACCAGAAAATCACTGAAATCAAGTGCTCTTTTCCATTAGTAAGCTTCTAGGAGTGGAGATATTTGCCTTGTCCTGAATCAACAAAAGAATAGTAAAGAGCACAGAACCAGCAAGAATTGGGAAGGAGCAACACATCCAATCAAAAAGGAGGGATGGAAGACGACAACTATCCATTAAAGAAAAAAAGAACTGACCTCCTTTTATCTCTAGCACTCCATGAGCTAAGTCTGGAAATGCTACCCTCATAGCACGGCCCCATTAAAAAGTCTTTCCCCAGGCCTAGCACAGGAGTCTCTGAGTCACCACAGAGGAGTCTGAGTTAGCAGCACCTGGCATTTTTTCCTTTGACCACATCAGTGGGACAATGGATTTCTCTTCCTACCAATTAGAGTGAGTTTGTGTTTCTACTTCTCATAAAATATAAGTGTTCAAATGATAGCAACTGAAGAAAGGAGGGAGAGGACTTAAGTAATGACTGGTCCTTGCTGAAACAAGTCTTGAATCCAACAAAATTACTCCATATGCAGTCCACCCAAGAATATGACTGCTGAGAAACAATAAGGTCTAGCATGCCAGGCCCTTCCAGAGCCTCTCTGCCAAGCATGTGATGGATACAGCCATCCAAGGGCATTTGTGGGACACTGTGGAGGAAAAAACCACCACAGAGCCTCAATGGATTCCAGGTTCCCAAGGGAATTTCCAGTTACAAAGCAAATACAAAGAGAGGTAAACAAGACCTTCTGGATACCCCTCTCTCAAAAAACTCAACTATACTACTCTCATTCATCCAAATCTGTATTGACAGAACCTGTGCTTTTAAGTTAGGCACTATTAGATACACTCTCCACCTCCTGGGCAAAAGGCATGAGGGTACCCCAAGCTACTGTTTGCCACCAGCACTCACGTTTCTCCTGAACATACAGGTAACCTTCCATGGTGTAGGGACTGATGGTCTTGTGCTCAAGGGGATTTTCCTTCATCTTTTTCATCAGTGATTCCACTTCTGACCTGGTGCCTTCGAAGCGGTTTCTTGTCTAGGATGAAAGGAATTTTATTCAAATCAGAGAAATGAAACCTTGTTCCCATCTCTAATAATTCACAACATCAACCTATGGAATCCTTAGATCTAAAACCAGATAAGAAACATTTAGCCACCCAGGAATTCAAGCAAATATTCACTTTCAAGAAGTGTCCTATGACCTTAAAATCCTACAACAGAATGATTCTGTGGTTCTCAAGACCATCAAAACCATCTGGAGAATGTGGGAAAAATGCAAATGTCCAGGCCTCACCCCTAAAGATTAATTTAGTACCTGTGGACCCAGAAATGTGCATTTAAACAAGCACCCAAGGGATCCTGACTCAGTTCACAGAATAGTCCCCAAGCCCCCTACAAGACAGAGGGACTTACTTCTCCAGCTGCAGGGAATACCATTTGCTGATGGTTCACAGATGGTTTCCTCCTCAAAAGGGAGCTACTTCATTCAAGGTAACTCCTTTCCCCCAGGGCAACCTGCACCCCATGACTAGTTCAGGCTGGGGGCAAAAGGGGAAGGGGTCCCAAGTCTGACACCCTTTCTTCTATTCAGGCCATGGTGAAGGTCCATATCAGGTCCAGGACACCCCAGGGCATTGAATGAGGCCTCACAGCTCAACTCCTGCAACTGTCTGCTGCCCTCTGTCTCACAGGTGATTCTGCTAACCCTGCTCCCCTGTAAACCTGCTACATGTAAACCTCCACTTCTGAGTCTACCTCCTAAGGAAATTGGCCTAAGGGAAAGCCATGCTTTGTGAAACCTTGTGCGAGACTCTGCAACTTCTTGTTTTCCAAAACATAGAGAACCGTGGCAGGGCAAGCTCCAGGCTTTTAAACCCATGCAATATAACTCACAAGGACACACTTGGATTTCTTTTCCACACAGCATCATCTAGAGACAAAGACAACATGTAGGCTAATATAGCCAGCCACATAGTGAACAGGCGGCTGAGGACCAGTAACTGCTAACCAAAGGGCCCTCAGCACGATTCTGAGACCAAAAAGTCCTGCTGGTTAAAGTTTGGTGAAGGCAACTGGGAGTAAACGGGTCTGTCTTGGATTTCCTGTCAGCCTCACTGAAAGTTGAACAAGATCATATCCTCTGAGCTGCAGGCCAGCATGTGTGCCCTACCCCCATCCCCTGAACACACTCCAAGGTCTCTTGTGGCCAGGCAGCTAGATGCACAGAAATGAGGCTGGGCCTTCCACTGCCAAAGGAAATCCTGATTCTGGTGCTACACATTTAAAACAAAAATATCAGCAGGACTTCCGAGAACATAAATAGTACTTAGAAATAATGGAAAAGAGGATGATGCTCTAACCTGGGGCCATGAAGCACCCTTAAAATGCCTGCCCCCAGCTGCCCTTTGAACCCAAACAGGACCCATCTTCTTCACCTGCATTTCAATCCAGGTTAAGTGATCTCTATGCAATCAGACCCATACTTTGTTCTTTCCTTTCCTCAACCAGAGAAAGGAAACCTGCCTGTCCCTTTGCCCACTCACATTCTGTATGCTAATGGTCAACTCAGTCTTGAAGTCGCTGAAATCCTTGGCCAGTTCATAACCATGGTGATAGAAAGTGAAGAGTCCTTGCAAGAACGCGAGTAGCTGTAATGAAAGAAGGGCAGAGTTCACATAAGCACGCCAAATAGGTATGCAGCTTTACCTGAGTTCCCAACCTTGGTTTGAAAGACTAGAATAAAATAATAAAAATGCCTATCATCTACTGAGCACTACTTGTATGCCAGGCACTGTAACATCGTATGCCAGCTCTCACTAAACGTTAACTCAGTAGGTAAGTACTATTGTTGTCTCCATTTCAATATTGAGGACACAAGTTCAGAAAGGTTAAATAACTTCCTCCAAAAGACAAAGTACATTACATAGCAACCAGGATTTGAAATCAGGTCTCCTTGGCACCAACATCCAAGCTCTTCCTCAACCTCAGAGCCTTCTAAAAAAAAAATCACTTCTTCAGAAACTGAAGACCAGTCTCCTTCAAATCCAACTCAGTCTCCATCAAATACATCTGTAATATCAGGTTACCATGGGGAAAAGTGTGGTTATATTGGCAGCCAACAAAGAGGGGAGAAGAGGAAGCTGGTATGTTCTGAGTCTGCAGTTAACAGGCAAAGTCAAATCAAAGAAAATCATCCAGATCGGACTTCCACTCAAGTGTGCTTCTGTGCTTTCCCTAAACTATCCACATATAAACACTATAGATGTACCCATGTCTTCAGTTATGATGGTTCCCTGAAATTCTCATTTAAATCTCCTTGAGCTAAAAGGTATTAAGTCCATTCACAGTGTGGTCTGGTGTTCAGTGAAGACTGAAAACATCTGTTCAGCATGTTTCTCACAACACACCTTCAGACAAAGAAAACTATTAATGTTCCCTCCCTGAGCCCTGCCAGTCTTCACTTCACCAAGTTCAACCAATGCTCCTGCCATATTTCCTCCCAGAATCTACACACAAACCTACTGTTGTTAGGCTTCCCTGGCCCCTTCCCAAGTTCTACACATCTTGCCTCAGTTCCAAATCTCAACCTGAAGAAAGGATTGTAATAAAAGCCTCAACTAGGTTTTAGAAGAACCAGAACTTTACTTTGTCACATGCTCTGTCGTACTGCATTTGGGGACCCCATACCTGTTCCTTGAATCTTCCAATGCCAACTCTCATTTTCTGACTGGTCCACTCTGACCTCCCTGACCTGCCTCTAACACATGTTAACATCAGGATACAGTTGCTTTACTTTATAGTGCTATTTAATTTTCCAGTCCCTAAAATGAACATATCTTTAGTAATTAAACATATTCTCACTTTGTTTTTTCACCTAACTCTCCTCTTCTGAGAGGCACCCCTAACAATGATGGTAAAGGAAACTCAGCCCACCTCTGCTCATCTCCCTCTTGGTTGGTTGGCTTGTGACAAGACCATAAGCACTAAGTATGTGCTACTCTACCTAAGCTCAGAGAAAAGAATGGTCTTTGGACTAAGCCACATGCCTGGCCCAGTTTAACAAAGAGCTCTACACTGTGAAGTCAGACAAAATCCAGCTTTTAAATAATATGATACCCTGACTTCCCACCACTATTGTCCCTAGAGCAAGTATTCTCTTAGATTCTCATGGGAGGTCAGAAAGGAGGCCTTGCTGGGTCCTCTGGCATAAAAAATATCTAATGATGCCACATATAAATCACTAGTACAAATCAATTAAAGGTGGTAAACCACATAGAGTCACCACAGACTAATAATGAATTATTTTCATGAAAGATGATGGAAGCTTTTGAACCTCTCCTGTATAAAATACTGTTTTGAGAGGAAAGCTCAGGCTTTTCCTCCTAGATGGCTCCAGTAATAAAGAAGAGGTCCTTATGTCAAACCTAGTGTCAGTGTTCACAATGAAAACTGTATCTTTATCTTTTCCTTCCCTCCGTTCTTGAATGCTATGCCCACTCATCACTTTTCCAAGGCACTGAACTAATAATGCAGGAGATACGCAGCAAATTCTAAAGTCATTTCTCCTATTAACTCTGATCTACCTAACCCCTTAAAGTCAACAGGGCTTCCAACAGCCCACTAAGACACCACCTGGGCATGCACACCAAGTACTCCAAAGGCAGAGAGTTATTGGTATTTATTTTGATTTTCACTTCCTTTGATATCATGCTTGATTGTCTGCTTCTCTGTGGGAAATTATTCCATAGGTATTGTTATCTTTGGCCCACTTCCCTTCTCCTCTGGCAGCATTGCTCTTCCCCTCGCCCACCTCCTGACATCCCCTTCCCACACACCGCATGACCTTTTGAATCTAGCACCCGGTGGAGAATGGAAGTCCACTCCCAGAGGGCGGGGCGCGGCTCACAGAAAGCTCTCAGAGATGGGATCATCTGTCTGCCTTAAAGAAATGCCTGCACTCAAGCACACAGAGGAAAAGCTTGTTGTAGCCTCACCTTAGCTGGCAGATAAATCAGCACGTCCACACAGGCTGTTCCCTGAACAGTCAGCGACACACAATCACAGCACAACAAAGGAAATGCCAAAGAAAGGCCTTTCCGGGGATCCCTGGGTGGCTCAGTGGTTTGGCACCTGCCTTTGGCCCAGGGCGCGATCCTGGAGACCCGGGATCGAATCCCACGTCGGGCTCCCGGTGCATGGAGCCTGTTTATCCCTCTGCCTGTGTCCCTGCCCCTCTCCTCTCTCTCTCTCTCTCTCTCTCTCTCTCTCTCTCTCTCTCTCTCTCTGTGTGTGACTATCATAAATTTAAAAAAAAAAAAAAGGCCTTTCCCCCTTCCCTTTGCCTTCAAGGACCCCCATCCTTGTTTTCTTCAGAAAATGACTAAAAAAAAAAAAAAAATCTATTCCTCTTTCCAACCAGATAACATAGCTATATACATTTTTTTAAGTAAGCAAAAACATTAAGTGCTTCATTTAGTGACAGTTGTACCATTCTGGACTATCTGATAAATTTAGGTTGCTTCCATTCATAGAATAAAGCTATTGCTATAGGCTGAATAGTGTTCCCCCAACCCTGACAAAAAAAATTATGTTGAAGCCCTAATCCCAGTAACTCAGAATATGATTTTATTTGGAAAGAGTCTTTATGGAGGTAATCAACTTAAAATTAGGCCAGGAGGACACTAAAATGACCAGTGTCCTCATAAAAAAAGGGATATTTGGACAGAAACAGAGAGATGATAGCTACACAAGGCCAAGGGACAGCAGTGATGCACCTATAAAGCAAGAAATGCCAATACTGCTAGCAACACAGAAGCTAGAGGGAAGAAGCTAGCCCAGAAGCTAGAGAGAAGAAAAGATAATTTCCCTACAGGTTTCAGAGGGAGCAGGCCCTGCTGACACCTTGATCTTGGACTTCAAGCCTCTAGAACTAGGAGACATAGTAAGTTTCTGAGAACCTAGTTGGTGGTACTTTGTTATGGCAGCCCTCACAAACAAATATAACCACCAAGAATCATTCATTTGCATGACAAAGAGAAAAGCAGACAGTAGAGCAATTAAAAGTTGTACTGGGCAAGCCATGTTAACGCCCTGCAACTCCTCTTTTCCAAGAGGACACTAATGCTACACTAATGCTAATGCTTTCTGGGGTGGTGGTAAAGACTGAGATTACCTATGCAATGGCCTTAACACAGGAGCACCCACTGGAGCTGTCGGCAAGAGGGATATACTCAGATGTACATGTCAGAAGATGCAGTGTGGTGGCAGTGTCCAGCACAGCCTGGGGAAGGGGAGAGCCCAAGATAGCATGCAACAAATCAAAGGAAAAATGAAGACCTACGATGGGGCAGAAGTAGTAAGAAAGGACAGGAAGTCACAGCAGCATGAAATATTTGCAAGGTACAACTCAGAGGATGCAGTGTCTGATGAATGCGGGGAATGAGTTCTCTGTAGCCTTCAATTATGAAAACTCAGGGAACAGACATTATGTGGCTTCACCTTCAAGAAATCAGGATGTCATTATCTGCAGTCCAAAATCTCCAGAACATTTAGTACCTCAACAAGAAAATAAAGGCTTCCAGGGCACACACACACAAAAAAATGTGGTTTTGATCCCTGAAGTCTGAATTTTCTGCTTTGGAACAGTGAACTTTTTTTGTTTTTGTTTTTGTTTTCCTGAATGTCAAGAACAACCTGGTACTTGAAGTTACTTTCTAAGAAACAAATGAACATAGTCAATATGCATGGAGGTTCCTTGAATGGCTGCAAGATTCCCTTGACAGCAACCACCTCAAAATATGAATACCCATACCAGGTACCCCAGCAGTTTAGTTCAATAAATTTTGTGCTGTTTTCCTTTCTACCTGTAAGCAATCAAATACTGTTTCAGAGAGACCAAGAGCAAGACCATTCCAGTTCTGCTAGGTACCAGATGTCACCTTAGAGAATAAATGTGCTTCCATTTCCTCATCTGAAAACAGACATAAAACAGCAATTACCTACCCTCAGAGACAGTGTAAAGATTGATGACATTCTGGAGGTGAACGGATCATTAGCATATAACACAGTTACACCTAATCATCAACTGTTATTTCAAGGGTCTCCTGCACAATCTCTGCCAGGGGCTCAAACTTAAATGTACAACAGAATCACCTTAGAGGCCTTACTAAAAGAGATACAACAGGGGGGCTCACCCTCAGTTTTGGGGTCTAGGGTGGAGACTGAGAGTGCATTTCTCAGACTTTGACAACCACAGATGTAATCAGCAGTGTTCTGGATCAATCCCTCCCGCTATCCACAGCTCCCAAAGAACTGACCTGCCCATAAGCGGGTGGGTTGAGCAACATCAACTTCTATAAAAAAGTGAAGGTTTAACATGTGAATTCTATATACAGCCTCTTAACCAATTCATTTAATTTAACTTTGGGCAAGTTCCTATCACTTTCTTTTCATTCTAACAGGGGACCAGAAATTTTTTTCATTAGCTCTCCCAGTGCCTCACTGCATGGTCTAGGAAACGTCCACAAATCCCAACAGTTTTCCACTCTTTAAAACCCTTCTGGCACTTCCATGCATGATTCCTCCTGTTCCACCTGGCACTGAGCTACTTGCTCCCTTAGCTACCTCTCTATACATCTCGCTTCCCTAATAAGGCTTTGAACTCCTCGGAAACAGCATAGCAATTTCTCTATAGTAAGCAAACGCTTTCAGATTTACCAAAAAAAAATTTTTTTTTACCAAAAATTTTTATATTAAAACAGGTAGGCCCTATTAATATTGGCACTTGACTTGTTTGCTCATCTGAGCAGACCCAGATTGAATGAAGCTTACATATTTCTCTATCTTATGATAAATAGTAATTGTTAACTGGGTGCTAATTAGCAATTATATACTAACTGGGTGCTAATTAGGTTTACTCTATTCTAAGCATCATACATGGATAAACTTACTTATTCCTCCTAACATCTTTATATGGCAGATGGTATTATTATACTCATTTTGCAGATGAGGAATCTCAGGCTCAGAGAAATTAATTACTTCCCCAAGAACACACAGGAAATGGCTGACCTGAGATTTAAATCTAGGCAGTCTGGCTCTGAAGCCCTTACCAATGATTATACTGCCTCTCAAAAATTCAAGACACTGATATACTAAAAGTGAGTGCCAGGAAATAGGATTATTTAGAAAGAAGGAAAAAAGGAAAGAAAAGGGAAGGAAGAAGGGAAGGGAAGGAAGGGAAGGAAGAAGGGAAGGGAAGGGAAGGGAAGGGAAGGGAAGGGAAGGGAAGGGAAGGGAAGGGAAGGGAAGGGAAGGGAAGGGAAGGGAAGGGAAGGGAAGGGAAGGAAGGGAAGGGAAGGGAAGGGAAGGGAAGGGAAGGGAAGGGAAGGGAAGGGAAGGGAAGGGAAGGGGAAAACAGACACAAAGAGGAGAAAGAAAAGGAGGGGGAGGGAGGAGAAGGAAAGCCCACCTAGATCAGCAGTCATCCAGCTGAGTACAGACAGGTTGGCTGAAACCCTCAGATTTAAGAGAAATAAATATCTACTGTTTTATGAGGTTTTGTGGTTGTTATCCAGCAAAAGCTAAGAGATACAGTTCCTGACTCACTAGGAATACTTACTAGGAGATCAAACTGGACAGCAACAACAACAAAATCACTTCAAAGAAGTATGATGGGCCAATTAAAATCCAAGTCCTCAAAAGCAGGCAATTGTAGAGTAATATCAATGTGCACATAAAGATTATTACAATCACATTGGATTTTTTTTCCCTCTACAAATTCTGGTAAAATCAACTTAAAATGCCCAAGGCTAATTCTCTGAGAGGATCTGAATGCCTGCCCAGACCAGAGGAAACAGTCTTCAGTAAACCTTCACTGAAAAGCTAGCTTTGGGCATCCCCGGTGGCTCAGTGGTTTGGCGCCTGCCTTCAGCCCAGGGCGTGATCCTGGAGTCCCGGGATCAAGTCCCACATCAGCCTCCCTGTATTGAGCCTGCTTCTCCCTCTGCCTGTGTCTCTGCCTCTCTCTGTGTGTCTCTCATGAATAAATAAAAATCTTAAAAAAAAAAAAAAAAAAAAAACACCTCTGTGCCCTTAACAGAGAAATCAATCAGCTCACTTTCTCTAACAGATGGCTTCTCCCACCACACCAGACCCTGCAAAAAACATGGGGATTTTGACCTGAGACTGTGACAGAGACCACTACTAGACAGGAAGTTGGCTCTAAAGTGTCTAATTTTCAGATAAGAAGACTGAGGTAATTAAAGACCTTAAAGAAGTTGCCAGATGAGGTGGCAGAGAGTGGAATCCCCAGATCACAGTTCCAGTATAGTAAGAAATCTAAGCATCAGATTCCAAAGCCAACTGGAGACTGATCAAATTATTAGCAAGTCTACATGCCTAAAAAGCATCCTAGAAGTTTATAAATTAGAAATGGAGCACAGAACACTTTTTACTAAAAACAGTGGTTATTTTCTTTCAGTTTCTTACATTTTGATTCTTGTTTAAGAAAATCATTTTCTTATATCTAGGTAGGTAAGAATCATTTCTATAGAGACCCCAGGCTTGGGTCTAAATCACAGGCTGCATTTTTAATTAAGAATCCAAGGTCTGCAAGAGTTTTAAATTGAGGCCCACACGCTCTCTTATTGTTTCCAGGACATCTTCATAATGTGCATTCAGAGTGCCACAACAGGGTACAGCACCACCACCACTGCACAAAGCCACAACCACGCAAAGGTGGCTTCAACTAAAGCTGGACTTGTTTCTACACTACAATCTTCTGTAACCACTGGGACACAGTGACCAAGTCCAAATCCCATCATGGTTCAGCAAGCACAATCTCCCTGCTGCCCAGTTATAACAAACTACAATGAGAAATCACTTTACATAGCACCTCTTAATGCATGGAAGGAGCGCAGAGGGGCTTCGAGCTGAGCAGACAAAAAGAGGAAGGCATCCTGTACATTCCCCTTTTGCCTTAGGTCTTATTTGAAGAAGAAAGGAAGGGGGTGGAAAGGGTGAAAAGTTAAGGTATAATCACTACTGTTGGGCAAGATGGAAACTCCGGCTCCTGCCCTCCTTCCACCTAGAAACCAATTAGCAGAATACAGGGGAGCTTGAGGACGCAACTACCACTGAATGGACCATCACTGCTGCTCAGGTTGCAAAGGAATGGCCACAGGGGACAATCCAGGGTAGCCAGATCGACAGAGTGCTGCTACATAGCAGAAGGCAGAGCGCCAGAGCTGGTCAACCTCTTCATCAACAACCTAGAGCATTTTGTAATCTACGCAGTGGAATGAGGGCTGGGGATCAAAGTGTGGATGACCATTAAACCCTGAGCATATACTTACAGGCTCCACGAACTCAAACATCTTTCTCTCTTGGACTTCTTGCACCTTGAAGACATACTCCAGGGATACTTCATAGAAATGCTGCCGGACCAAGTCCACTTGGCTGTCTGCCTACAAACAAGACAGAATTTAAGAGAAAAATCAGTCACTATCCAAGGAGAGCATTCAGCAAGCAAGCTAGAAAAATCTCTGGAGATGGTTTTTAATAACAATTCAAACAATACAAAACAGACATGAGAATAATGACAACAGCCAGTCGAGGACTTGACTTTGTGCCAGGCACCATACCCTCAGGTGTGCATAGGTTGTTACTCACTCCTCATTAACTAGTTATTTAATCCTCATTCCATTATTAAAAAGAAGATACTCTCGGGATGCTTGGGTGGCTCAGTGGTTGAGCGTCTTGCCTTTGATCAGGGCATGATCCTGGGGTCCTGGGATCGAGTCCCGCATCGGGCTCCCCACAGAGAGCCTGCTTCTCCTCTATGTTTTTGCCTCTCTCTCTGTGTCTCTCATGAATAAATAAAATCTTAAAAAAAAAAAAGAAGAAGAAGAAGATACTCTCATTACCTCTAATTTACAGGAGGAAAATGAAGTCTGCTAACATTAAGGAAGCTGCAGCAGCTAGTACATAGGAGAGTTAGGATTTCTGTACTTGTGGATCAGCATCCAAGACTCTCAATCAACTTTAAAGAGGTACTTATTTATTTGAGAAAGAAAAAGAGAGGAAGCGCATAGGGGGGTACAGAGGGAGAGCAACAGAGAAACCATAAGCAGACCCTGCACAGAGCCTGATGCAGGGACTCCATCGCAGGACCTTGAGATCACGACCTGAGTCAAAACTAAGAGATGCTTAACTGACTGCACACCCAGGTGCCTTGACTCTCCATCAACTTTTTTTTTTTAAGATTTTTTTTTTTTTTTAAGAGAGAGAGAGAGCACAGAGGCAGAGGGAGAAGCAGACTCCCTAAGCAGGGAGCCCAAAGCAGGGCTCAATCCCAGGATCCTGAGATCATGACCTGAGCTAAAGGCAAATGCTTAACCGACTGAGCCACCCAGGCCCCCTGATCATCTTTAAACTAGCAGGCTATACTGCCTCCACACACCCTGGGGCAGATGAGGGTTCCATGGAAGACAAATCTTTAAGGAGAAAAAAAGAGCAACCTGCAGGGCTATCCCCATCCCTTTAGGAATGAACTAAACAAGCTGTTAGAGGGCAGGGGACTCAGAAAAGGACATTTCCACACAAGTTTCCCATTCTTTCTTTGTGGTCAAAGAACTGTGAGTTTACCCCATCAGGGTAATTATGTTACTCCATCCTAACCTAGGTCCTCCCTCTGTGCAGATGGGGGAAAAGGGAACCGTGGAGCCTAAAAAGACCCACACCTGAATACAACTAAACCACTGATGGGGGGTATAGATCCCAGAGAAGAAAATGAGTGTGTGTGTGTGTGTGTGTGTGTGTGTGTGTGTGTGTGGAGTAGCAAGATGCTATGCTTCAAAGTACCTCAACTATCACGAGAAAGCTATAGCCTTCCACAGTCACTATGTCACCTCATTGTTTCAAAACAGAAAATGACACTGAATGCACATTTCAACGACAAAAAAAATAGTATTTTTTAATAGAAACAAATATCCTGCTAGTAGGAAACAACTCTGTTTTCTTTAGAAATTAAGGGGTCAGAAACCACTGCACAAAATACTTTACAAAGACAAGCAAAGCCCCCACAGAAACATGACCTCCAGGGTTCCCTTGTCAAGAACCCTGCAGAAGAAACCCAAGATAGCACTTACCTGCCATTACACCAAATACGGCACTATCTTTCTATCTAAAGGACATGGTAAATCATTCATTCATTCAACCATCAACAAAAAGAAAGTTCCTTCGTGGAGCTTACAGCATAGTGAAGAAAAGAGATATTAAATAATTATGTAAATAAACAGAAAAACTGCAAACCCTGGGAGAGCACAAACAGCCCATTCAGTTCTCCTGTGAGCAACTTCCTCCCAGGACAATATATTAACACACAGAAGCTAGTCTGCTAAGTGCTGAATAAAAATAAAATGAAGGGCTAAGCCTGGGGACATTTCTTTTATATATATATATTTTTTATTTATTTATTCATGAGAGACACAGAGAGAGAGAAAGAGAGAGAGAGAGAGGCAGAGACACAGGCAGAGGGAGAAGCAGGCTCCATGCAGGGAGTCTGATGTGGGACTCAATCCCTGATCTCCACCAGAATCAGGCCCTGGACTGAAGGCAGCGTGTTAAACCACTTGAGCCACCCGGGCTGCCCCTGGGGGCATTTCTAAGCCTTCAAATAGATCAAGTTGGCATCTGAGGACTGAGAGATCTTTATTTGGAGGCACAGTTTCAGGAAGGGCTGCACCCCCTCCTCCCCAGGTATAGCCATTCAGACCACTGGGCTAACATCCCTTCCACTTGGGCTCCTGCCAGCTAAGCCCCATATGTTCCTGCAGCCTTTCATTTCCCCCATGGTGCAAATCCAACACACTTACACTAGGGATGCATCCACTTCCCCTGACTACCAACACACCTCAAACACCCTCCTGGCTTGGGCTTGCCAAATGACACTGCAACTGAAGAAAAAATCATTCTGGAAATTTGCAAAGTGGCTCCTGCAATTAGACAGCAATGGAGGAAACTCCTCTAAGATAGAGCAGAGTCCAGCATCAGTCAGAGAGCTAACAGCAAACACCTGGCTTGGACTTGCAGCTCTAGCATTCCCTAGCTGGAGAGATCTGCTAGAGTCACTTATCCTCTCTGGGGCTCTTTCCCACACCTGGAGGTGGAAGACAGTATCTGCCCTTGCTCTGAGTCCAGAGCAAATGAGCTAAAGGATATGAACAATTGGAACACAAAAAAGTGCTGTGTGCACATTTGTTGTCACTATCACCAGGCACTTCAGAGCAGATGGGCTTCAATCCCAGCTTCTTCCCTAAGTCAGCCATGCATCTCTAGGCGGTTATACTTCTCTCCTAAATGGTTTCCCCACTTTCTTTCTCAATGCAGTCCACACCCAACAGTCAGAAGAGCTTTCTTAAAATTTGACTCAGAGCTTCTCACAACCCTCTCAACGCCTTTCTCTGGTTTCCACTACGGTCTGCAAGACTCTGTGACCTGCTCATCTGTCCCACCTTCCAGCCACCCCCAGTACATTTGCACTGTGCTCCAGCCTCCCAGATGGACTCCCTTGTTCCATAACGCTCCAAATGCTTTCCTGCCATGCAATTTTGTACTTGGGTGTTCCTTCTGCTTATAAACCTTTTCTCCTTGATAAATATTTAATTTTTTAAATTTAAGTGCAATTAGCCACATATAGTACATCATTATTTTCAGATGTAGGGTTCAATAATTTATCAATTGCATATAACACCCAGTGCTCATCGCATCATGTGTCCTCTTTAACCCCCATCACTCAGTTACCCCATCCCCCACTTGCCTCCCCTCTAGCAACTCTCAGTTTGTTTCCTATAGTTAAGAGTCTCTTGTGATTTGTCTCCCACTCTGACGACTTCGCATTCAGCTTTCCTTCCCTTCCTCTATGATCCTCTGCACTGTTTCTTATATTCCACATAAGTGAAACCATATGATAATTGTCTTTCTCTGACTTATTTCACTCAGCATAATACCCTCCAGTTCCAACCATGTCGATGCAAATGATAAGTATTCATCCTTTCTGATGCTGAATAATATTCCACTGTGTGTGTGTGTGTGTGTGTGTGTGTGTGTGTGTGTGTGTGTATACCTCAACTTCTTTATCCATTCATCTGTCAATGGAAGTCTTGGCTCTTTCTACAGTTTGGCTATTACAGACATTGCTATGAATAATGGGTGCAGGTGCCCCTTCGGATCACTACATTTGTATCTTTGGGGTAAATACCTAATAGTACAATTGCTGGGTCATAGGGTAGCTCTACTTTTAACTTCTTGAGGAACCTCCAAACTGTTTTCCAGAGTGGCTGTACCAGCTTGCATTACTACCAACAGTGTAAGAGGAACCCTTTCTCAGCATCCTCACCAATATTTATTGTTTCCTGTCTTGCTAATTTTAGCCATTCTGACTGTTGTGTATCTCATTGTGGTTTTGATTTGTACATAAATATTCAATTTTTTAAAAATTTAAGATACAGTAAGAAAAATCTTTTCCACTATGACCTAAAAAACATGCCTTATCTTCTTCCGTTCTAGCTTCCTCTATTCTATTTCACGACCCAGTAATTCAGATTTTTAGGACACACTCACCATTTTTTTTAAAATCCTTAAAAAAAAAATCCTTTAAGTAATCTCTACACCCAACATGGGCCTCGAACTTACAACCTTGAGATCAAGAGTCACATACTCTACCAACTGAGCCAGCCAGGCGCCCCAACACACCCACAATTTAAAGAACACTGTGCTAGCTTTTCTCTTTCTTTTTTTTTCTTTTTTTCTTTTTTTTTGTTCTAGCTTTTCTCTTGGTGGTCCTTCTCATCCTTCTGGTTTCAATTCAAAGGTTAACCTCTTTAGAAAAGACTTTATTGACCACATTATTATACATAATATAAAGATATCCTGGGATAACCCACCTCCCAATTTATTTCCTTATCATTATGTAAAATTCTCTTCTATGTTTTCTTGTTTTGCCTACTGCAATATAACATCAAAAAGAGCAAAGACTGTCTCATTTTTCCACTGTACTATTCTAGCTTACAGAACAGTGCCTGGTCCATAGTAGGCATTCAAGAGATGCTTTATTAATGAAAGAACTGATCTCTATGTGGCCAGCAGTGGTCCAGTTCTCAGAAGAAAGCATAACTCAATGCATTTCCAAAGGAAAGGGAAAGAAATCCAAGTGGAATGAATGGTATGTTTCTTCTGCTAATGACCCTGCTCATCTGGGCCACAGAATTCATCACATGCTTAGACTCTCATCGTGCAATGGACTCATGGGCCAGAAGTCAAGCCCTCACGGCAGACACTCAAAATCATTTCTCTGCTTGTTACTTGAGAAGCAGTGAACCTACCAGCTTGTCTGAGATGCACCAATCATTCCATGCTTCTTGGAAAAGGGACATTGTCCTAGACTGTAAATTCCAGGAAAGCCAATCATTCCTTTCACTCTCTATCATATGCTCAACACCTGAATAAACTCACAGAAGCATACAGTGAATGGGTTAAGTGAATATTGTCTTTGAAGCTTCTTAGAGCTTGACACATACAATGACTTGAAAAAGAATCATCCACTAGATGGCAGTGTCATTCCACATGACCAGGATGTAGGGATGGGCTAGAATTTAAAAGTATTCAGTTTAGAGCCTTGCAATCAAGGAAGAATTCTGGATAATCAAAGAACATAGATTTCATTAAAAGTACACTACGTGTTAAGTCATGTTCCTAAGTTGATTTTTTAAATACATGTGAAGAAAATCATCACTAAATAGGGGGAAGACCTTGAACATTAATCACTTGACCTCTGCAAGGAACCCAGTTCCTTCAAATATATATCCAGAAGGTTCAACCAGAAGATTATCAAGGTCCCTCCTTCCAGCCAATTTTATTTTCATGACATGGGCATTGAAATAACAATGACTTACAGGCAGCCCAGCAACATGCCGTGGTGGGGGAGGGGAGGACACACAAGTAAAAGAGCACAGTGAGTTAAGAGAAAAGAGTTCCAGAATCAGGAGCCAGTGTTCACACTCTAACTAGCTATGGACAGGTTATCTAACATCTTTGAGCCTTAGTCTCCCTCATATGTAAAACAGAGGGAATACATTGGTACCTCACAAGGAAATTGCAAGGATTTGAGAAGATTCCAAGTACAGTGCCTAACACAGGACCTGACACAAAAATAAGCATTTGGTAAATATCTGCTGCTATTATTGTTGTTAAAGTATTATATCATTTTTTTTAGCAATTTAATTCAGCTCAGGTACAACTAAAAAGCAATGCTTGAAAACAGATCCAGACCTTAAAGGAGATCTACAGCCCACTCCTTGCCCTACAAAATACTTAGAAAGTATGACTGGGTCAAAGACAGGCACACAAAGAACTGTAACAAAATAGTGTAACAAAGAAATGCCCATTAATATAAATAACTGGCAAAGTCAGTGCTATAGACTGAATGTTTATGCCCCTGACAACATTCTTATGTTGAAACCTAACCCCCAATGTGACAGCATTTGGAGGTGGGGTCTTTGGGAGGTGACCAAGTCATGAGGGTGGAGTCTTCATGAATGGGATGAGCGCCCTTATAAAAAAGATCCCAGAGAGCTCCCTTAGCCCTCCCACCACATGAGGCCACAGCAAAAAGACAGCCATCTGTGAACCAGGAGGCAAGTTCTCACCAGATACTAAATCTGCCAGCACCTTAATATTGTCCTCCCTAACCTCCCAGCTGTGAGTCAAATTTCTGTCTCTATAAAGCTACCTAGAATACCTGGTATTCTTTTTTAGTAACCTAAACATATTGAATCAACGAGGAAGAGAGTATCCCCCAATTTGGAAACAGGGGATAGGGAAAAACAAATCAGCCTTGGGGTTAATACCTTGTACTTGTTTAGCAGCCATAATTTGCCTTCTCCTACATGTAGTAGACACAATAGGTATTTTGTATTTTACAAAAAAAAAAAAAAAAAAGGACTAAAAGTCCAGAGAGAGGAGTACTTGCCCCAGGTCATACAGTAAATACATGGCACAGCAGGCACTGAAGTAAGCTATCTGCCACTCAGTGCTCTGGTCCCAACACTGTGCTATCTCAGTGGGGTAAGATACTGGTGTGGACTTAAAGGAGTATTTAGACTCATCCCAGACCAAGCGAGCAGTATCCAGGAACAGAGGGAACAGATGGCAGAGACATCCTCACTCTGGGGAATACCATGCCTTCAGACTAACTGTACTATGGGCCTCTCAACACCAGCAGGTGCTAGAACAATCACACAGTTGCTCAACTCTTAAAGACTGACTCCTATTAACTGCTTAGCAACTATAGATCTGTCTACCTCTGGTCATTTTGAGTTGCAGCCACAAGACTTTGCTTAAATGTAGTTTCCAAACTCTAAATGCCAAATGACATTCAAAGAAATGTAACTAAAGTGAGGGCATCAGGACAGATCCTAAGTGGATTTACACATTTAGCATGGATGACTACATATTCTTGGGCATCTTCCAGAGCTTATATCCCATGCACAGCTGGGATTCCATTCAATGAAGTTAGCACTTTATATACATTCCACTGACAATGGGTTTTCTTTAGTCTTCTCTAGCATATTTGATAAGATTTACCTGAGTAGCTATGCTATCTTCAAGAATGACCTCACCATTTGTTTGCTGCTTTTTCCCTGGTCAGGCACAAGATCTTCAAGGATAGGTTAGTGTTTTCTACTTTCCACAGTTCACAACAAGTGCTCAGCTGCTGTTTTGGATGGTTGGGCAAGAACTGATCTAGCAAAGCCCACCACAAACACTGGTTGCCAGAGTTGCTACTGGGCCCCCTCTTCATCACTTACACAACTGGTTTAAATGCCCATATCAAAGCAGAGGGTTCTGAAAACCAGATATTACTAACTGAGGATGGGTAACAAATCCTGGTGGGCAGGGGACTCGACTCCACCATCTCCTGATGTATCTTCATTGTTCAATCTTCAACCATAGGATCTTCAGAGTAAGGTTCACCTGACAGAAGTACTGCATAGTATTTGCTCAAAAACAAAGTAAATTCAAGAACGAAGGCTAGGTTGACAAGTGTCCATCGACTAATGAGTGGATAAAGAAGATGCAGTATGTGTGTGTATATATATATATATATATATATATATATATATACACACACACACACACACACACACATATATACATACTATCAAGTATTACTCAGGCACAAAAAAGGAAGAAAAAAGAAGGGAAGGGAAGGGAAGGGAAGGGAAGGGAAGGAAGGGAAGGGAAGGGAAGGGAAGGGAAGGGAAGGGAAGGGAAGGGAAGGAAGGGAAGGGAAGGGAAGGGAAGGGAAGGGAAGGGAAGGGAAAAGAAAGAGAAATCTTGCCATTTTCAATAACGTGGATGGAGCTAGAGAGTATAATACTAAGTGAATAAGTCAGCCAGAGAAAGACAAATACCATATGATTCTACTCGTGTGAATCATATTAAAAACCAGAACAAAGGAAAAACTAGAGACAAAAACCAAGAAACAGACACTTTATTAAAGAGAACACACTGATGGTTACCAGAGAGGAGGTAGGTGAGGAGGATGGGGGAAATAGGTGTTGGGATTAAGGAGGGCACTTGTCATGATGAGCACTGGGTGATATATGGAAGGGCTGAATCACTATATTGTATACCTGAAACTAATACTACACTGTATATTAACTAACTGGATTTAAATAAAAACATTAAAAAAGAAGAAAGGCTAGCTTGGAAGTCACAGCCTCCCTTTAGCATGTAATTCAGAAAGGTTAAGTATATTGTTAAGAGGAAAATAATATTCATATAGTCAACTTCACAACTCCACTAGGAAACTGCTCTATTTCCCAGAAACAATATCCTTACTATGCAAATCTCCACAAACTAAACAAAAATGATCAGAGATGCATGGCTGCAAAGCTAACTTACTTTTCCAAGTGAACTATTCTTCATGTCAATCCAGAAAGGCTCAGGGTAGGTCAGATAATTTACCCTTTTTGAAACAAGTTTACCAAAGCATAAAATATATGAATGAAAAATCCTACTTACAGAAAAAAGGAAGGAAGGAAGGCAGGTAGGCTAATGTCAAACACTGGTTGAAGTAATTTTTCTTTTGGTTGAAATAATTTTTAAAAAATATAACAACAGTGGCACCTGGGTGGCTCAGTTGGTTAAGTGTCTGCCATTTGCTCGGATCATGACCTCAGGGTCCTGGGATGGAGCCCTAGGTTGGGAATCCCTGCTTGGCAGGGAGCCTGCTTCTCCCTCTCCCTCTGCCCCTCCACCCTGCTCCTGTATTCTCTTTCTCTCTCTCTCTCTAATAAATAAAATCTTTTAAAGATAAAACAACAAAGAAGAATGACCAAACCGTTCCAGATGGTAACACTTCAAATCACTGATACAAGGCAGGAAGTCAAAAAGTAAGGCAGTAAGTGATGGGATGAGGACTGGGTGTTATGCTGTATGTCAGCAAATCGAACTCCAATAAAAAAAAAAATATACAAAAAAAAAATAAGGCAGTTAAGTGCAGAATCAAGGTAAATGGTCAGAGAAACAGGACACTAGATTTCAGTTTGAAAGGAAGAAGCATATTTTATTTTATTTTTTTAAGATTTTATTTATTTATTCATAGAGATACAGAGAGAGAGAGAGAGGGGGGCAGAGACACAGGCAGAGGAAGAAGCAGGCTCCATGTAGAGAGCCTGACGTGGAACTCGATCCAGGGTCTCCAGGATCACGCCCTGGGCTGCAGGCAGCACTAAACCACTGCACCACCGGGGCTGCCCAGAAGAAGCATATTTTAGTGACTAGACCTGCCCAACAAGGAAGTACGTGATCTTTATCAGCAGTATGTGCCCCCACAGCAGTGACAGGTTGGACAGCCGGAAAACGTGTGCTGCGGGCAGGAAGATACAAAGGGAATACAGGCATTCGGGCATCTGATGAGGGATCGGGGTCAAGCTCCTGGTTTGTGAGGTCTCTTCAAACTCTAGGACTTTCTGGCAAAGAGAAAGCAACACATATCCCCAGCACGACACAGAACTTAAATGCCTTATTCAGGATGCTAGTGAAGTTTCTTACCTCCTGAAGCTGAGATTCTTTCTTCTTGGAAGACAGATTTAAGTGTTTTTCTAAGATGCCACAATACTTTTCTGTCTCCTTGTCATACTTCTTTTTGGCTTCCTGGCAAAAAGTAGAAAGGAGAAAAAGAGTAAGATGTTGCAGGAAAAAAGCAACTTTGTCAAGACCTGCCTGCTCAATTTCATAGCTTCACCATTCTCTCAGACCCAGGACAGTGGACAACCCAGCTCTTCCTACTCTTCAAATAAATGTATGTTCATTAAGCCACCCACTCCAACCCCCACCAACAACAAACTGATGGTTTTCAGTGTCTATCATAAAGGAACCAATACAATGCCAGAAACAAGGTAAGCCCAGTATTTAATAGTGGCAAATCCAGGACTCCACATTCTGAGAAGCTCAACTGTGAAACCGAAATTTCTAGTTTTTAACTCCAAGGATGTTCAAGGGCAAACAATGGGGGCAAAGTTATCTATGAAGCTAATCCCAAAGCACTAAGATCTACTTAAAGCTTAAGTGGGACAAGTCTAGAATAAGAGCAGACCCAGCTTTAACAGTGGTCAAAAAGTACTTAATATATAGACCTAGTATCCCCAAGCACAAGAGTAAAATATATGGGTCTTTAAAATGACAAAAGATTCAAAAAGAAATAAATAAGACAAAAGTATTCACAGAAGCACCATTTTTACTAACAAAAAAGCCAAAGCAACATCAGTGCCCAAAGATAGGGTTTGAGATCATTAAAGGGTGGGACATCTAATAACTTTAATTAGGAAGGCTAGGTAGTCATATAGTAAGTTGCTCATTATTTAATGTGAAGTATTAATATGATACAAACTTGGTGCATTGTACATAGAGTATAGCTACCTATAAACAAAGATTAAATGGAAAAATAAATGAAAATAATCAAGTTAAGTAAATGGGATAATGGGTAATTTTCTTCCTATATCTGGCATGATCCTACATTAATAGTTTTCAAAATGGAAAATAACTATCATAATACAGTTAATAATCTCTGCTTTCCGACCAAGTCACTGACTCACAGAGATTCTACTTGTATCTCCCATTTTACAGTTAAGAACACTGAGATCCAGGGAGGTTAAGTTGTGAAAAGTCATACAGAGTGACAGAGTTGGGATCTAAGGCCAGGATAGGCCGCTTCCAAAGCCTACCTCTCAATCGCACCTGAGACACATGTTCACAGGAGGTCTCTCTTTTCCATTCACTTTCTAGTGGGAATGGCAATAAGGGGGCTGGAAGACGTTGGACAGTGGCCTAACAAACAGGATCAATTTCACTGAGTCCATAAGTCTTAATCTTGACTCAGGTGGAACCCACAGGAACTATTTATTTTTCTGCAACTCCAAGGCCTCTAAGAGGAGAAAAAAAGTTTTTGCAGCCAGGTAAGGAAGCTCAGAGACATCTCCAGTCATTTCACAAAGATATAACAAGCCAACCACTCTGTGTTGGGCTCCTTTAGCCAGTAGACAAGGCAAAAGTGATCTCAAGCCTCTTGCTGGGGATATTCTAGTAGGACAAACATAATTAACCAGGAAACAAATAACTACAGACATCTGCAAGTGCTATGAAGGAAATAAGGTGCAGAGATGCTGCAGACAGTATGCTCAAGAGAGGCCTCACTGGGGAGGGAGCGTGAGCTAAGACATGCTAATCATGTGAGGGACAGGGTGGACACTTCTAGCGCCCAAGAGCAGCAAGTACAAAGGCTCTGAGCTTAACACTGGGAAGCCCAAGCAGCACAGGTGACAGGAATCACCAAGAAGCTCTCACTTGAAGCCCTGACCATCTCCTGCCACATTAGAACACCATTTTACCTGGTCAACAAGATTCTAAGCCTCTCAAAGAGTAGAATCATTACATACCATTTTTAGCTGACATGTATCCATTTCTACAAATCTGAATTTTCCTTGAAAGATACCTTAACTACAAGAACTCAATACACAGAAGCAAGTGAGGAAAAAGCCCAAGGAGACCTTAAGCTAGACGCTTGTCTCAAGCAACTCTTTCCTGTATAAGAACCAATAACTTTGAGCTAGGGCTCCAACTCCACTTAATGCTCACAGATCCACCCCAGAAGCCTGTCAGCAAGCCCCAAGAACCCTGTGCTGGGATAGCCCAGCTGGCCAGAGGGGAGAAAAGGCCAGAGAACACGAGTCACCAGCATTCTGTGACTTTCTGGCAACCAAACTGCCACATTCCATGTTCAAGAGCTAAACAGAAAGGGCAGCAGTTTCTGTCCTGAGAAACCAAGCAATAAGACCTCAAAGGTAAGTCTACTAAAATTTAGATAATGTTCTTAAAACAGGAGGGTGGTGTTAGTGATTTTAAATTCCCAACTCAGGTAGGACATGGTGCTCATCTTCCAGGGAATCCACTGTGGGTGGCTAAATGAACAAAAGACAGTATTAGGGTTCTGGAACTTATTTCCAAGTCTACACGGACTGACTAAACAAATCACGGCCCCTCTCCAGAACTGGGTTCTTACACTGAGGTACTCCATGAGGTAACTGCTCAGGTTTCTTCCTCTTTCAGTTCTGAGAGTGTCTAACAGAGTAAGAATAAAAACATCTACTTCCTCATAGGCCTATTAGGACAAAATAAGATAAACCATAGACTGTGCTTAGCAGAAAGCCCAGCACACAGGAAATGCACAGTAAAATTCAAGAATGATGATGACAGTAGCCATCGCAGCAATAGTGGTAAAGAGGCCCATCATCTGAACATACCTCCTCCTCATTGAGAACACTCCTTGTTTTCTATGTCCAATGTCCTATGAAGGTAAGCCTTCATAGCACTTCCACAATTGGAAATTATGTTTATTTACACCTTTTTGTTTCAGGTCGTTCACCCTAGCCCATTATATCTTCACTTGCTCTCTACCATAAACTAGTGTGTCACATGGAGCCAGGCACAGAGCAGGCACTCATGTATTTTTTTTCATTGAATGAACTATGTGTATTGAACCTAACAGCTAACATCAAAAGACTATATAACCCTGTTCTAAGCACTTCATATGTGTTTACTCATGTCTTCCTCACAGAACTCTAAGAGGTAGGGCAGCGCGGGTGGTTCAGTAGTTTAGCATCGCCTTCAGTCCAGAGTGTGATCCTGGAGACCCGGGATTGAGTCCCGCGTCAGGCTCCCTGCATGGAGCCTGCTTCTCCCTCTGCCTGTGTCTGTGCCTCTCTCTCTCTCTCTCTGTCTCTCTCATAAATAAATAAATAAAATATTTTTTTAAAAAAAAAGAACTCTAGGAGGTAAATATTATTGCTCCCCCATTCTACAGATCAGGAAACAGGCACGGAGAGGTTCAGCTACTCCCCAAGTTGGCATGCCAATGGCACAAGTGAGGTTAGGGCCCCCTATTCACCAATGCTAACTTCTTCTCTACTTTCACTGTAGAGCACAGTTCTCCAAATGTACCTCAGCTGGAGGAAAAACAAATTCTCCTAAACTCAGAATTCTGAACATAGGGTCACAGTTATGCCAAGCTCTGGGCTCACGCCCTACAGCAGGGCAGCTACACTAACACCAGAATGCCCAGGAGTCCTCCTCCCTGGCAGTCTTCATATCCAACACTAACTTCTGCTTCTTGCAAGTAGCAACAGGTTGTTATAGCAACCGAAGCAGCCGGAGAGGGGGAGGAAGGGTAATTTTAGCACCACACAGGCAGAGTTCAGAAACTTCCACTTGGCTGCTCAAGAGCCCTGGCTGGCTTTTAGGTATTCTTTAGGCTGCTGCCTAGACTGCCTGGTGCAGAGTGTGTTTCTTTGCTTTCTCTTATATGTATACAATACTAGGATATAAATATGTGCATGTAGGGGGAAAGGAGGAACAAGTACCGTGAAAAAAGGAAATGACACAGGAAGGAGAAGGAGAAATCACCCCCAACATCACACACTGTTCAAGAGGAATGAGAGATCAGAGTGTGTATGAGAGGCAACACGTTTTTACGAGTAATGACTTTAAACAAATTATTTTATTCTCCTACATCCCATCATCTACAGCCCCACCCCTACCTCACCCCCAGAAAAGTACCTGCTCCAGTCATTGCGATTACTGGTATTACCCAAAAGGACCCCACTCAGACTCCTGCTCTTCCTCCATGGTAACGAAAGCCCAAAATTAGGGCTGAGGGAAGAGGCCATAGTGAGAAACATCTGTGCTCAGATGCAGAAAAGATTCTTGGAAAGGAGAGTCAATAAAGAGGTCTATCTGCTCTGTTGCTGTCTCAAAGCTCTTCAGAATGTCCAGAGCCACTACTGTATGTTATGGTGTAGAAAGCACAGGTCCCGAGGCCACTAAAGTGAAGGTTTGCTCATTGGGCCCACAAACATGAGAACCTGGGGAGGGACACTCATGGCAAAATCTTGGACAAAATCTTAGCAGAACAAGACTCCCTTTTAATTTTACACTCCTTAATCTATGATATAAAACCCATGAGCTCTAATTTCTTCATAAATGTAAAGTGTAAAATTGGTAGAAAGTGCTAAAGAACTGGAAGAAAAATCTTTGCTATGGTCCATTCTTCAAACTGCAGTCCACCATCCCTCAGAAGAACCCTGACTGAACAGCACATCTTTTTCAGCTCCAATCGTATTCATTTTCAGAAGCACATGTGCTTATTAGGTGGGGTGGGGAGAGAGATCCCACTTCATTATATTTCAGTTACCTTTTCCCCATCTACGGACATCGACCTCTCAAGACCATTTCACAACTGAGTAAAAATCTAAACATGTCAGAGTCATGTTGCCCAAAACTCCCTGCAGGTGGCGCAAAGGACTGCAGCTGGCGCAAAGGACTGCAGCTGACGCAAAGGACTGCAGCTGAAGGAGTTACAGTTCCAGAAAAAGAGGAAGAAAATCTTGAAAATCCTTCTGCTTTCCTAGATCCCAATGCAAACACCTTCCCTGCAGGTGGCCTCCTGAACACCCTACTGACAAACTACCTAGGGTTTCCTCGTGATTTCTCACAGAGCAGGGTAACTCTGAAGAATCCATCTTTCAAAACTGAACAAGATTCCCTTAGTGGTCTTTTCATGGAAATTTCAGCTACAAGTCAGCCACATTTCGGGTGCAGTTCCTCCCGGTCAGTGGTAACAAACTGGGACCTAGAAATTAAAGCAGTCCTGCTTTGTGACCTGCACCATGTGGAAATAGGCTTTAAAAAAAAAAAAAAAGCCAACATTTTTTTAAACCAGGAAATTTCAAAGAAAACTGGCTTTTCAGTTTCTCTTGAAAAGCGTCAAGATCTGGCAACAAAGGGCACATTTTGACTCCACAAAAAAAGGAGCTCAGAATAGGGTCACCATGCCCTCAGGCCCAGTTTGCCTGAGGGCGTGGTCTAGGCTCTGAGTCCAGAACCTCTGCAATAAGAACAATTCCACCTTGTCCAAGCACCCATGTATCCACTAACACAAGGAAGCATGTCTTCTACTTTTACATGATTTATGAGCCAGCACAAAACGTTTAGGTAACAAAATACTAGAATGACTGCTCTGAGGTTGACCACTCAATCTTACTTTAGACGCTTGTGAGTAACAGATGAGCCACTATATAAAATCCAACCAGGGCTGCCCGAAAATCCAAGAACAAGGTTTGCGTAATTCTCACCTTGGCAGCCCCAATCTGCTCCTTTCGAAACTTCTCCAAGGGAGTGATGAGCACCTCGCTGGCATTCTCAATCTGGTGAGGAAAAACAGGGCAGGGAAATGGAGTAGACACACATACACACAAAAGCAAATATCAGGAAAAAACTCTAGCAATTCTGACACAAAATGCCTCCCTGTGTCTCACTTTAAAATTTGAGTAAGCAGGGTACCTGGGTAGCTCAGTTAGCTCAGTGACTCTTGATTTCAGTTCAGGTCATGATCTCAGGGTCCTGGGATCAAGCCCCACACGTTGGGCTCTGTACTCTGTGGGAAGTCTGCTTGAGGATTCTCTCCCTCTCCCTCTACTCCTCCCCTACTCATGTTCTCAATCTCTCTAAAATAAATGAACTTTTTTTTTAAATCGAGTAATACTATTGCATGTGCCAATTGTTCACAATACTTGAAAGCATGTCAGATCAAAATCACCATCTCAAAACATGGAACTCTTCCTATGGCTGATTCTCTAAAAATGGGTATCTTTGGGTCACCTGGGTGGCTCACTTAGTTAAGTGTCTGCCTTTGAATCTCAGGGTCCTGCAGGGAGTCTGCTTCTCTCTCTCCTTCTGGCCCGCCCCCCCACCCCCAATTGTGCTCTCACTTGCTTGCTCTAATGAATAAATTTAAAAATCTCAAAAATAATAAAAATGAGTACCTCTAAAAATGTAAGCAACCATGTAAAGGCAGAAGGGAACTAGTAACAGGGTACGTTCTAAATTTCAGCTTCGGGTGACATCTTGTAAATGCCTATTCACCCAAGTTACATTTAAGTGGATATATTTTAGGCAGATCAACACTGAGTCTAGGTTAAAAACAAGAAAACACCTTTGGACATGAAGTGGCATGAAAACCTTCCAAGCCTGACTTTTTGTATTCCTACCAGTACTAGACTAAGATCAGGACATCTGTGCCTTCAGACCACTGGCTGCCACTCAACTTCCTCCCCCAGCTCTCACTCCATCAGGTCCTATATGCCAGCCATACCATCCCCATGCACCTCAAATGTACAAAACTTGTCCCATTTTCAGGCATTGCATTTGGTCATTCCCTCACATGCTCTGACCCCAAATGCTCTGATGAATGACACATTTCTTATTCTAATTGAGGTTTTGGCTTAAAGGTCACCTCTTTAAGAAGGCCTTCCATGATCACCAGCATATTCCAAAGTAACTTCTCACCACCCCACCAAGGGTTTTCTTCCAAAGATGTAAGCCAGCTAAAGTCTTCTAATTCACCATTATACACACACACACACACACACACACACACACACACACACACACATCACTATCTTGTAAATGTTCACTTGCCTGCCATTTTCCCCCAAACACAGAGGAGTGCTGAAAACAAAGGAGCACTCTAATATTTTTCAATGACTATGTGAATGAATGAATTATTTCTTGACTGGCTGCCAACTGTGTGACCACAGGCAAAGCATTTAACCTCTCTGGGCTCTAATTTCCTCATCTGCAAAATGAGTAGGTTGGATTGTTCCAGCTCTAAGATTCTATGGTCTATTCTAAGGCAGTAAAATATTTTACAATCTTTCCTTTTAAGTCATTCACTGCTCCTTCATTGCTCAACTAATTATTTCAGGAATCCTGATGCAACAAAGCATTATTTTTCTAAGTCACATGCATATACATCACAATGAAACCAACAGAGTAAATGCCAGAAAGGCAAAGATGGACACAGCCAAGAACTAACTAGGCAAGGGAGGAATAAAAGGTGGCAGGTCTCCAAATTTATTGCCATTTGCCTTTTTCTCAATTTTGAAAGCATTTATCTGAGAAGAGAGCATTTTAACATGAGGGTTGCAATGTTAACTTGTTTGATTTTTATTATTATTTGATGTTGCTTAATGGGCTCACTAGTTTAAATCTTGCACAAATAAGGTAAGTCTCCAAAGCTCACAGTGGTATGCTGAACCCCTAAGCCACCGATTCTCAGCCTGAGCTGCATGTCAGGCTCATCTGGGAAGTTTCTAAAAATCCCAATGTCCAGCCTACACTTCAAACCAATAAAATCAGAATCTCTGTACTTCGTCCCAGGCATCAGTGTATTTTATACTTCCCAAGTTGCTCCAGTGGTTGACAATCTAGCCTTAAGGAGAAGCTAAATACACAAAAGCAGTAACTACTCATCTGGGAACCAAGATGTCCAAGATCCTGTCCCAGTCCTTCTACTGCTTGCTATTCATGTTCACTAGACCTCAGTTTTCCCATGTGGCCAATGAAAGACTACATACAGTGAGAAGTAAGGTTGTTCTGAGTCTAAGAATCTATGACTATGTTATTTGCACTCAGTTCCAAGCACTGTGCTGATGCTGGGGACACAGAAGCTCACTACAAGCCCTTCAAGAACTCCTACTTATTATGAAACAGACACATGCAATGATTATCAGACACAAGGTGGTAAGTGGAGAATCCAGAGACATGAACTGGATACTAAGAATATACAAAGCATGGCCAAATACACCAAGGAGTCAGAGAAGGCTCCCCAAAAAGGTGCAGCTTTGCAATGCTGAGCTGAACTGATGAGGCTGCCATAGAGTGAGGAGGTGGGGAACAGGCTTGTAATGGTGAGATACTCAGACACACACAGAAGAAACTCAGTTCACTGACATAAATAATAAAATTGCAGAGGCAAGCTGAAGAGTATAATCCAGTCATTGTTCTCTTACCACAGGCCATAGCATCTACAGGGTTTTCATCGTTATTTGCTCACCACACCCCCCACCCACAAATAGTGACTCGGCCAGGAATTAAACTCAAAAGAATCACTTCCCTTTCTCACACAATAGCACGTGCACAGACAAGCTTCCCCCTGCCTCCACCCACCACCAAACCTGCTGCAACCACCAGCCTTCTGATTCTGGTTCAAGCACCCAAAAATGAGCAATCAAGGAAAATAGGGTCTCTGTGCAGGGCAGGAGGTGAGAGCTTCTGCTGTATGCAATTTCAAAGAAATTCCCCCATTCTTTGTCTAACACAAATTTGGGTTTGAATCCAGACTGCGACACTATTTAACTATATGATCTTAGGCATGTTATTAACCATTCTAAACTTCAGTATCTTCATTTAAACCCTGAGATGATATAGGTACCACCTCACAAAGTCATCATGCGGGTTAAATTAAAAATGCGTGCATACATAATGTCTTGGTTGAAGCTATGGACTGAACAGCATCTCCTCAAAACTTATAGGGGAAGCCCTAACCTCTGTTAAATTAATTAAACAAAGAAGCCACTAGACGTAGGTGGCTCCAATGCTCTAATAGCCTACATAAGCCAACCAACACCCAAGGCTGCAAATCCCTCAAGGTTAAGAAATAGAAACAACTAGGCTTTCCCAAATAAGGCAACAGCCTGAGATATAGCCAATCAAGTTTAATTTCCTTGCTACTTCCATATGTTCTCCATAAAAGTCTTTCCCCTATAGTTCTTGTCAGTGGAGCTTTCCTAAACAGTTCCAGTTTGGTACTGTCCAATTTGAACCAATTTTTGTTCAAACAAAGTCTTAAAAATAGGATATGCCTCATTTTATCATTTAACATCCCCAGCGTGACACTTTCTGGAGATGGAGTCTTTGGAAGGTAATTACATCATCAGGGTGGAGTCCTCAAAATAGGATTAATGCCCTTCTTCTGAGCCAAAACCCAGCCATTCTGCCCCCTTTCTCTGCCATTTAAGGACACAGCAAGAAGGTAGCCATGTGCAAGCCAGGAAAAGGGTCCTCACCAGGAACCCAATCAGTTGGTTCCTTGATCCCTTGGTCTTAGACTACCTAGTCTCTAGAATTGTGAGAAATCAGTGTTTGCTATGGAAGCCATCCAGCCCAGGGTATTTTGTTATGGCAGTCTAAGCAGATTAAGACAGTGAACTTAGTTTCAAATGATCAGTTTTAGCATGGGAAGAGAAGAAAAATCTTCATTGATAGATAGACTCTTCCTAGGCCTCTAGAGCACCACTAGCTTGGGGACAAGAACTCTTGGGGACAAATCAGCATGCCACCAGCAGGAGGATTTCAAATCAGCTTCATTCTTGGTATCTCAGGGTTAAAGAGAGGATGTAAAAGAACTTCTTGTGGATGTGGAATCTCTCATCCATTGATGCTGAGCCACATTAGAATTAGAACACAGAAGATATTTCTTAGGAACTTAGAGATCAGCATTTGATTCTTAAATTTGCATTGTACCTCCTTTTGAAGAACTTCCTATAATTACCATCATTTACTATGTGCCCATTTACTGGGTGCATACTAGAGGGCAGGCACTGGGTTAGGTGTTTCAGAATAACCCTGAAGGGCAGGGTTCACTTGGATAAATTCAATAAGATAAGGAGAGCAAGAAGCAAAGTGTGATACCTTCATCCCCACTTTGCCTATAGGGCATCGGAGGCCCCCAAAAGTTAAACAATTCAGAAGATCCACCCGTAAGTCATACCTTATAGGTTCACCTTAGAGTGAATCTTTGGGAGGCCAATAAATGTGGTTCTAAAGTTATCCATAGTAATCTCTTAAACATTTGTGAAATGTTTCCAACTCTGCAAAGATGAGAAGATAAGGCTTGCTCAAGAGCTTAAAACACTCAAGTGGTAGAGGCTGGACTAGAACCCAATTCTTCTGACAACCAATCTCTTGACATGAACCACACTATATGAGAGCAAGAGCAGCCCAGCCATACTCACCATCCGTATCCGTTCATCTTCAAGATTCCTGAGAACAGTGGCAAATTCTTGCAAAGACCTTGCTGGAAAAGAGAAAGTGCCATGAAAGCGACATAGAGAAATGAGCTTTTGGGAGTCTTTCCAGGTACAGCTATTATGCTATGGATTGAATTCCCCTGGCACATGCAGAATCCTAAAGTCAATTGCTTCCCAAGGCTCCCCTTATCTTTTAATCATTAATGATCCAGGATGACCCTGAATGCAGGTTAATTTCACCTGGCACTCTAACTAGCAAAGGATTTCCTTCAAAGACCTGCCTGTTCCTGAGACTACCCACGACTGATGAGGTGCTGGCCAGCTTCCAGACCGTAGGCTGGAAGGGGAAGAATTCCGCTTAGGAGTTGAAGGATTTCCTGCTCAGGATTTGACCTTTTCAACTCTGGTTGTGGGGCTGCGTCAGAAACCAACCTTTCCTCTGGCACCACAACTAACTACATCAGTGCAGCTCGCAATGGAAGCCACATCTCTGGCTTCTCCTTGGATTCCACTTCCTGAGTCCTCAAGCCACCTATTGATACAATGCAGCCTGCAGGATGGTGGTCAGACATGGAGAGTCTTCTTTACCCAAATTATTCCCAAAGGCAAAAGGCATTAAGTACAATAACCCTGAGGATATTCAGGACATACATGTAATGTTGGGGAGCTTCAGGAGTTACAATGATGCGTTTCCACTGCTCTCAGCTATCTATCTCCCAGCTGCCTTCCCTCATCCTCAGATCCTGGCACTCTGTGTGACAACAGGGATTCAATAAGCATTTGACAGCTCTCTCAATCCTTGCTCACCCCTGGAGCTAACCAAGATGACCAAATGTAAGAAGAATTTAGGGCAATGACTGGACCCTGCCAAAGATAGGTGTCTTGATATTGTAAATCCTCTGTTCTCAGGATTGCCTATAAGACACAGAAGGTAATAGGGAAAAGAGAAGTAGCACAGCAAAGTAATCAATGGTAACCCCACCTTCAGCCTCTGGTAAAGGAAAGCGAGAGGAGAGCTGAACACCACACTCCTCTGTCCATCTGAAGGCAGTGGCAGCTACCTAGCTCTAGCCAACTACTGCCAGGCCTGAATGTAGGGCCAGCTGATCAGATTCTCCAATTTTAAAAATCTAGAAAACCAGAACATTACACAAATTCAACTTATATGTTAATTCAATTAAAAAAAATGAGTGCCAAAGAAAACATGGTTGTATTCTGACTTCAGTCCACAAACTATTATTTGCAATCTCCAACTCTTCCCTTATCTACCTATCTTCTGTTCTTGTTCTCAGTTCTATACTACTGTGATTGGGGCAAAGAAAAGTCACAAAAGCAGCCAGAAGCAAAACACTACAGGAGGGTGGGGAGCAGAACCCCACTGCAAACCTTCAAGCTTCCTCTTACAGGTCTGAGGGTGAGAGAGGCAGTCCCAGAACTCTGAGGGGAAACCCAGAATAGCCCCTTGGCCCCTGATCCTCACTTCACCCTGCCCCCCACCACTGCTGATATGATTTCTGAATTTAGGACACTTAGATACTTCCTATCACAGGGAAAAGGCTCAGCAAGGTCACCAACAGTTATGATAAACAGTGACCCGTCTTATCATACTCATGGTTATGACTTACCTATACACATTTCATCATCTGTTTCTGCATCTCCTATGCACTGAAATTTAAATTCATTCAAGGAATCGGCAAATTTCCTCTTCGCCAAAGACAAATCTGGCAAGAAAAAGAGTAAAAAAATATGAATTACTGACATCAACTGATTTTCCTATATGCTGTACGGTTTAGTTCTTCTACTAATGTAGCAGCCAGATCTGTCCCTGAGGCTTATTCCAAACACAATGTAAACTCAAAATACTGAACAGCTGTTTCTAACATGAAATTCTGATTGGCCTGAAAAATTACTATTTCCACTACACTGCTTTAACCATTCTGGCCCCAGTTCTAATTCCTTAAGCCACGCAGTGAGTCCTGTCATGTGCATCTGTACGGAAGAAGACCTACGGAGGAAGCGTAGGTCAGATTGGGCATCAGCATCTATATCCCTGTGGATGAGCCCAGCCAGTGGACCTCCCAGGAGATCAGAGGGAGCTGGAAGAAAGGGCGTGAAGTGCCCCATTCTCACAGCACAGGAGCTCCTGGACTCCTTATTTTGACTCAAGCACACGTGAGGCTGAGTTCTCACAACCTTCAGTTCCCTTCATGAGCAGAATGACCAGCCAGCATGACAAATTTCCATCTGAACTATTTCCCTGGGTCATCACGTTCCCCGCCACAAGAACAAAGCCCTGGCAATGTTTTGAGTTGGGGTAAAAACACACCCCACATGTGTTATCTATAAAGCAAGCCCTTGGATACATTCAAATTGTCAAATTTAAAAAATAAGCTTTTATTTAAGACAGTATTAAAAGCCAATGATCCCTCCTGAGCCCTCAGCTTCTGTTAAGGGTATAAAACCAGCCAGGTACCTTTAAGTGGCCTGACAGACACAGCTGCTCGGTACAAATGTGCTTAACTTAATTCCATGTGCAGCCTTCCCGAAGATTAGGCTAATCATTCAAATTACCCTCATGGATGTTTCCCTTAATGAAAGAGAAATGGTATTATGTTCAAATTCCCAAAGGAGGGAAATAGGAGGCATAACTGCCAACATGGACTGGCTTTAATGAGATATGAGAAGGAGGTTGGAAGGATTCTGGTTTCACAGATCAACATAATCTAATGGAATAATAGCATCCATGGCATTCAGTTCTCATCTTCATTAGTTCCCAGGACTGTGCCTTAAAGTTAGGAGTCATGTTTGTTTGGGTTTTTTTTTTTTTTTCCATCTTTTGGTTTTGTTTGTTTCCATTCTGTGTACCTGACAATACATCCTGCTCAGTATATCCTGAATAATGTGTGTGTATGGAGCAGGGTCTACAAATTCAATCAGTAATGTGCAGCTCACCAATCCCAGAGCTTCCTCCAAGCGGTAGCTGCCAGTGAAGAGCCCAGCTAAGCAGTCCTGCTGTTCTCAGGTCTGGGTCTCAGGCTTCCCACACAGAGAGCAGGGGCTCCTGCTCAGAGACTATCCTCCTATGTGTTCAGATGACATGAATCTCAAGACGGCTTGTGCAAGGGCCTCTGCTCTATACCAAATGAGGAGGACACCTGAAGTGGAGAAGGAGAACCCAGAAGCCAACAGCCAATAGTCTCTGTTCTCTCCTTGGTTCAGTCACTTTAATGAAAATGGTTCTTGGCAAAAAGCCCAAAGATGCTGGCAGAGGATTCAGGCACCTCCTAAAACTGGCCGACCCAAGCTGAGGATATACCTAAGAACACAAATCACTCCCCAGCAAGTCAAGAAAGAAACAGAGTCATCTCAAAGAACACTGTGAGGAGGAAAGACAGGAGGCCACAAGTGGGCAGGATGAGATAAAGGCAGAATCACCTTTCATAGTGGAAGACAAAGCCCCCAAGAAGGCCAAGGGGTATCAGGCACAGAATATGGGCATGGCTGTGCTCAGTCCCATTATGGTCAGAATGTTCTCCTGACTGGAACTCACAAAGGCCTTGAGCCAAGAGTACGAATAGGGTTGCTTCTCTATCCACCTAACAATCCTCTGTGCCTCCCCCATAGGCAAGAAAGACTCAAGCTGGACAAGCATCTACACAAAGTGGAAGAAAGGTGAAATGTAAGCTAGGTTTAGGAAATCTCCCAACATGCACCTGAGAAGTTGTGCTGCCAAGGGCAACTACCAATGACAATCAAGGAGAGGCTAATAATGCACAACAGGGCCTTTGTGGGGCCTTTTCAAAGGAGGACCCATTTAACCTGGAGCAGGGCCTGCTAGCTTATGACCAGAAAGTAACTTTATTTCATTGCTGAATGACACACAGGACACCCCACCACAACACAAACCTGAGAAGCCATGTGGGGCCTGTGAAGCTGATATAAGGAGGCCTGTCCCCTTGATGGAAGAATTAGGTGGTGAGTACTGGTCTGGAGTTCATACTGGGTTGTAGGCCAGGGAACACAGCTAGATATACTAAAAATCCCAGTTACTGGAATCTGAAAAGGAATTCACAATAGGCTTGAATGGCTCATACCTAAGAGAGAAATCTTTTGGGAAAGGTGTAGGGGGACACTGGGTATTTTGCTTTTTCAGCATCTGCTCCCCAGTCTTTGCAACAGCAGCTCAAGTTTGCTTTGGAAAAACTCCCCCTTTATACCTGCCTTGCATAAGGTCCTGGTTGTAGGCTAATCAGCCCCTTCCCCAGCCTCTTGCCCTCATCCCAACCTCACCTGGCTCCTGGGTTCAAATTTCAGCTCCACTGTTTATTAAAGGTGTAACTAACCCTAGCTTAGGCCTAACTTCTTTAGTCGCCTCCCCTGACCTAAGTTGTCAGCCTCAGCTTATCCATCAGATTGTCAAGAGACGGAGGGAGACAGACTGCCCCAGCACTTAGTACACTGTAAGCTTTGGTATTCTAGGCAAGGCTGGTCTATTCTTTCCTAACGTGTGAATCTTGCAATGACAGAACCCAGGGAAGGTAATAAGCAGGACTACCTGTGTTGAGAACTCAGCTAAGTCACAGGAGGGACATAAGAGCACACAGCTCAAAGTGGGGATCTGGGGTTCTATCAGCTCCTGGGAGCAGAGATCCTTGTAGCATATGTGGATATACCATGATGCCTCACCCCAGTTGAGATAAACCCCTCTCTGTTACATGGAAGAATGGAGAAGACGCCAAAAAAGAACACCTAAAACACACTGATTCTTATATATTTCAACCCAGAATAACTGGTGGCATCTTATGTAGATGATCAACTCTCCAAATAGTTGCAGGGAGATTTCTTTCTGGAGTCTTCACTCTGACACAAAGGGACTCTAACACACACATGCCAGTAAGAGGAGTGGAGAAGGAAGAGAGGCTGGTACTGGTGCTGAGTGCATGCCAAACGTCATGACACCCTGCTCATACAAACCCACTGTTTCATGTCCAGTGCAAGATAGAAGAAGGTGCCAGAAGTCAGTGATATTTACTTTGCAGAAACATCTGTTGCGTGAAAGGCAGAACGCTGGCCAGAGCAGAGAGAAGTAGTAACTGGCAGCTTCTGGGGAGGACAAGTATTTGCCTTACAGAATTAAATCACCTCCACCTCTGAGTGAGGAGACCAAGGCAGCTAAGGGACACAGAAGCAGCTAGAAGTCTGGGCTTTGGGGGACTGCTCTCAAAAGTGTCTGTTGACTAGGGGAACAAAAGGGAAGTGTCCTTCTCTTCCTGGGGATGCCATGCTCTGCCTCCCCAGATACTCTTCTGCACAAAGTGTTAAGAGAATTTAACCTAAGTACCAATTCTTTTTTCAGTAAAAGAAGGTTCATGCTTTTTCTTAAAGTTAGGATCCACCTTAATTTACACAAGTTTTACCTCAGTACCACAAGTCAAGCCATTCCCATTTTCTCCTTGGGGAAAGTTAAACACCTATTTGCACATACAAACACACCATGTGCACACACACATAATGAAGCACTCAAGGTAACCTTATCATCACAGTTATTTCAGCACATCTATTTCCTTTCTCTGACCTCCAAAGTTATCAGAACTGTATATAACTCTCCATAAAAATTTTTATTCCTTGGTTACATCTCCCTGGATTTAGAAACTGATTACAGTTAACGAAGTCCAAGTGCCACGGTAAATACTTGTAACAAGAATGGCCTCTTGGCTGCTTGAAGCACAAACACCTAAATCCCCAGGCCTAGCTAATCTCTCCCTTGTCTGAAAGTCAATTACACTTATTCTCTGTGCCTGATCACCTTGTATCTGGAATGATTCCAGAACTATGCATGAGTGGTTCCCTGGCATAATGCATAGTAAGTGCCTGAGACAGGACCGGACAAGGAGGCCCTCAAAGACATGTTGTACTGAACTGACTGGGCATGGTAACAGAAGTTGGCTTACATGTAGAACATCTGAGATTGCCAAGTAAGAGGACCTGCAGTGAGGGCTAAGAGGTGGACATGAGTCCCCAAGAGTGCAGCTTTGCCCTACAACTCCCATTCTCAGCTAACCTTACCACTCTCTAAACCAAACTCTCTTTCCTATCATACCATCTTGAAAAAGGGCCAACCAAAGGCCTCTTGCTGCGTCCCCAGTTTGGCAAAAGTGCCACCATATGTCCGGCCACACAAGTCAAAGTCACACACTCATGTGTTGTCCCTAGCAGCACAGTGTCCTTCCCAAGTGTGTCTACCTATCCTCCTAAGCATCTCAGTTCTATTCACTCTTCCCATCACCATCAGCAACACCTCAATCAAATGCCACCATTTGCCTCATGTAACTGCAAATGCCTCTGCTCTGGTCCCCCACACCCACTTTTGTTCCTCTAATCAGTTCTCCCACCATTAATGTCAGCTCCAATAGTGAACCCTGCAGTGGATTCCCACAGCTCTAAAAACTAAGACCAAAGTCCCTCCCAAAGTCTGAGAGGCCTTGAGGGACCTAGGCCTTCAACTCCCTTTCCGGGTTTTGCCGGTTCCTAGAATGTCCTACTTGTACCTGGAGCCCTTAACTCAAGGATTCAGTCCTCTAAAAAGCCTGCCCTGACTTCTGTAATGAGGCCAAGCCCTACTCTACCTTCACTCTGAGCCCTATGCACCTCCTTTTTTTTTTTGTACCTCCTTCTTCATAGCAATTTTATATTGTTCAGGTGATAATTCTGTTAATACCTC